TAAATAGTAAGGAAATTAAATAATAAAATATATATATATCTAGATTAATATATATAATATATCTTTTTAATAAAAGTATAAGAAATTAGAATTATATATATTTATTTTTTATATTTATAGAAGATTATAAAAGAGCTTATAATTAAAAAAGCTATCTATACTAAATAAAAAAATAAAAGACTATCTATATTAATATATTAAATATTTCTACTAATAGTTATAAGCTGAAAGCTAGTAATAGAGTAGTCTATTTAGTAAAAATTACTCTAGAACTAGCTTTATAAGTAGTTTACTCCTATAGCTAGGATAGTAACTTAATTAATAATCTTATAATCTATCTATTTATAAGTATATACTTTGGAAAAGCCTTCTAACAGTGTTTAATAAAAAACGAGGCCCCCCCCTGCCTTGCGTGAACAGAGCTTTGGTGTGCCGTGTTGTGCCGGGAGACCATGCAAGTGGCAAACTCAACCATGGCTTTCCACTGCGAGTCTATTGAAGCATCTTAGTGGGGTTTGGGATTTGATACAGCCACTCTCAGATGATTATTCTGCAAATCAGAAGTTTGAATGCAAGCACCAGGGTATAAGCATCAGCGAGTCGAGGGCTTGACTGATATCTGCCGTGCTTACGAGTCCCACTACCCCTTGGCTAATTGGACAAGGCGTAGTGCCATCTTGGCGTTCCGTACACTTTGAGCCCATCTTTCCGGCCGGTGAGTCACTCGCCCAGGGTCACAGCGCTCGCAAACTGGTGTGGGCTGTGAAACTGATGCGCCTTGCCTTGCCGCCTACAGGGATCCTCTATAGCCACACACACTTGCCACAGCGAACCATCATTGATTCACTAAGGCACCATTCATCTGCCGGATGCTGCAGTCTGGTGTCTGCCTAGCCAGTAGCCAATAGCTGACCGTGAGGACGTCCGATAGGCATCCAGCTAAACTGAATGAGGAGAAGGAATCACTTACTAACGATTACTCGCCCTTGTCTGCTCGCATAGGTAGGCCCTGTTTCAGCCCAAGATCGACAGTAGCGCCAGAGGTTTCGTGTAGAACAATGCATCGGCATGTAAGATTCTGATGCTGGTTGCCTTGCACTTGGGATTAGGCTGCAGCTTGGGGGCCACAAAATATGTCGTGGACGGCGTGACAAACAAGCCCTCCAGCTTCCGTAGCTATAAGAATAGGGGGACGGCAGCTCTCATGTTTGATCTTTGCAAACAACAAGTCAACCAGGGAGGGAGTCTGCTTTGGCTAATACACATCTCGATTTGAACCCCCACGAATACGCCTTACGGACATATATGCTTCCGTGGCCTAAAATCACACGATATGACGGCCGATAGTCAATCGCCCAGCAAGGGCGAACCAAAGGATGTTGTGACCCCATCGCAGGTCACTGATTCCAACCCTGAAGCAACACCAGCTGAGGATAAGACAACCGACACACAGGAGGAGAACCAACCCTCCTCTGAGCCGCAAGGCGATGATGAGAAGGACAAAGTGAAGGAGGTTCTACCCGTGGGCTCGGTAACGGCTAGCCACAACCTCTTTGCCAAGTACGACAAGGATGGCAAGCGATCATGGTCGGCTACCATGCCCACCCACATTGAGGAAGCCGCCGAGAACGATGAGACAAAGAAGTTTGCCGTCATCGTACGGAAGCGTATGTAGCAGCCATTCCCTGAACATTTGATAGTTGCTAACACTTTTGATGAATCAGTCGCTCCAAAGGAGGCCGACTCTAGCAAGCCCCTCATCGTGGATAGCATCATTATTCAATCACCTCATCTCAAGACCGAACTGGGAAAACTGTTCAAGGATTACCCAGGAATTGTCATCGATGTAACCCGTCTGATTCTCCATGCCCCTTTCGCACCATTTGTCCACTGCTGGGACGAGTTCGTTGCGGCCACTGAACAGGCCAAGGGTGAGTTGGCAAAAGAGCACCTAACACTCCTCCGAGACATCCTCGAGGAAGAGCTCAAGGAAACATTGCAAGCCCGGGAAGATTTCATCAAGACTAAGGCCGTCGACTGGGGCCATGTCTGGACCCTCTTCAAGCCTGGTTGCCTGATATGGGGATCTAAGAACGGGCAGCCTGCCGCGTTCAAGTTCACTCGCGGTGAATATGGAGAGAACAACTGCGGCAAGTTCTTCGGTCTCCACTGCAAGCACATTGACTGGGACGGGAAGACTCTGGGCTGGACCAACGCGGTGCAGAAGATTTCTGAGTACCCAGGCTCTGTCCCCCTTACCGACATGAGCTGTTTCCCTCTGGAAATGCACCCGCAGCTCGAGCAGGTTACCGCGGCTCTCTATGCCCGAGGCAAGGTCTTTGAGAGCTTGGCCGGATACAACTACAAATTCTACAAGGGGATGGCCCTGTGGTGGGACTCTGACATCCAGAAGATACGCCAAGAGGTTGTAGACTCTCGAATCGTTATTGATGCTGTCAACTGGGCGAACCAAGTACCTGATCTATCTTTCACGACATCCAAAGCCCTTGGTAATGATGGCTGCTGCAACAGAAACAATGATTCTGATGACGAAAGTGAGGATGGTGACGGCGACGAGAATGAGGATGAAAGCGAGGAGGAGTCAGAGGGCAGTTACTCGGATGTTGGTGCTGATTTCAATGACAAGACGGAGTCTAAGAAGAAGCCAAGGCCTACTCTCTCCGACGACAAGCTCATCCTCACATCTCCCATGGTCCGTGGGTACTCGCTCAAGAACCGTCGGTGGATGGAATTCTTCATCCATGATGTCTCAGAGATCAAGTTCGCCGAGAATGCCTTTGAATCTCTAGTTTTGGACCAGGATAAGAAGGATCTCATTCTCGCGTTCGCACAGAGCCAGACCCAGTTCAAATCCAAGTTCGACGATGTCGTGTCCGGAAAGGGTCGCGGCATCGTCATGCTGCTCGCCGGAGGCCCGGGAATTGGCAAGACCTTGACGGCAGAGACTGTCGCCGAGGAGATGCGCGTTCCTCTCTACTCGATGAGCGCCAATGATCTTGGTGAGTCCTCGTGGCGGATGGAGTGGAACCTCAAGAGGATCCTCAGCATGGTGTCTGCGTGGAATGCGGTTCTGCTCCTGGACGAGTGCGACGTGTATCTTGAGGCCCGAAGCTCGCACGATGTCCAGCGCAATTCTATTGTTTCCGTCTTCCTGCGGATGCTGGAGTACTACGAGGGAATTCTGTTCATGACGACGAACAGAGTTCAGACAATTGATACTGCATTCAAGAGCCGTATCCATCTTACGCTCCAGTACCCGAATCTCGATGCCATAGCTCGTGAAAAGGTGTGGCGTACTTTCCTGGATCGATCTGTTGGCCGGGACAAGCTCATCCAAGAGGACAAGGATCACCGGGTTACAGATGAGGATATCAAAACACTTGGAAAGTTGGATATCAACGGCAGAGATATCAAGAACATTCTCAAGATGGCCAATTTGCTCGCCTGGCAGAAGAAGGAGCCACTCAACATGGCTCATCTGGAGAAGGTCTTGAAGATTCAAGATGCCATGTAATGGATGGCTGGATCTACGGTTTTCTTTTTTGTCATTATGGAAATGGATACAGCCTGTGTTTACAGTGTGAACGAAGATAAACGAATGATAAATTAAATCGCTTTACATATTCTCAACCTGGACTAATGATGGTGAAAGTAGATGTTGACGTGTGATGTAGGTCATATTGAGAAGAGCTAGCAAGGACCCAGATTGGCTGATGATGAAGAGCTGTTAAGACACTGACAATCTAAATTGCACACTCGGCTGTACAGCAGCTCATGTGGTAAAGAAATATTGCATCTGTCCTACCCGATTCAATTTGTAAACCCATCACCTCAGAGCCTCGCCTCTGATTTCATTTGACAAAAGGAACATGTAGGCAGTCTCACTCGAGCGCCTTACCAATCTGATCAAACTCATAACGCCACTCGTTGATCGTCTCAACTTCCTTGAACGGATCCCAATTCATCGCCTCGCTGTCCACGTACACAGCATCTCCCAACGTAATCGTACCTTCAGCCACCTTCTCACCCAGAGCGTGCGAAGCGTGCCTCGAGCTGTCGTGGGTCCGATCGCCGTCCAGGTGCACGCAGGCCCGGAAGGTCGCGCCTGGCCGGAAGAAGAACCCAGACTTGCGGGTTCGGCCGCTTCGTGTCTCGCTGGTGATCACGGAACCTTCGTCGTGCTCGGCGCACTGGTACGATATGATGGCGCCGTTCTTGGTGCCGATCTCGCTGTTGGATGGGAAAGGCTGCATCGGAGCCTCGTAGATCTCATTGAGGAGAAGAACGAGCGGTTCATCCCATGGAACGTCGTTGTCAAGTTCAAGCGTGCAACCACTCGCTGAGAGTTGAGTGTTTGGCGCCTTGACAAGGACATGGTCAATGTTGGCTTCGTTTTCTACGAATTGAGGGATTGGTTAATTGAGTTTCGATATGTATGGTAGAGAAGATTGGGTGACTTACCATTGCCGTAGAGATAGAAGGGGATGAACTTGTCAGGGTAGTCTTTCAGTCGCCACTGAGAGTTCAGTGGTCGACTGACGACTGTGCTAGTCACAGTCACAGCTATGTTCTTCAAAATGATGCCACTGCTGGGAGTTAGTATACCACAATTCGTGTTTCCACGCTAAGATGTGTGACTTACGATTCTTTTGTCTTGATCTGTCCCGTGAAGGTGCCATTATGTCGAAGGATATCCTGCAGGAAGGTCTTGCGTTGAGTGACAAGAATCATGGGCTCAGTGACGTTTGAGCTCCTCATGGAAAGATACTTCTCTTTGGAAGTCTCGTCAAAATCAACAGACACAATGAGCTGCTGCCTATGGTTTGCAACGTGAAACATCGGTAAATGGATCAGATAGGGCTGCTCTGTGCCCTGGATCAAAAAGCTGTGGAAGTCTTTTCCCAACTCATTTCGCTTCCGAACGACCTAAGGACAGATGGATGTCAGTGCGGTTCAGTTTTCATATACAGAGAATACTGTTTAGGTAGCAACAAACCTCAGTTTCCTTCTCCACAGTCTCACGGAGGATTTGTGCCAGCTTGCCGAGAAAATTGCCATCAGATGGGAATGGCGACATGACGACGTTTCGTAGGACCATCAAGTCCTGATGGCTGTCCTGAAGGCCCAGGCGCCTCATGAAATTCTTCTTGCAATTTCCGTATAGCTTATCAGAAAACAATGTAGATGTCAAATAAAGCGGGATCTTGGTTGGGTCATCGTTGGGGCTGTCGACAGAAAGCGCCTCGATAACTCGCTGCATGAGATAGTTGGCTTCTTCGACATCATCATTCAAAGTGCCATCGGCATGGCGAAAGTTCAAGGAGAATGCGTTGATATTGAGATCGGAACCCAGATCCCGCAAGAGCTTGGTCGCCTTGAGATCAATTGGGCGGTTGGCATCTTCCTTTACGATTTCGGCATTGCTCTTGCTGAGAATTTCCCTTCGAATGCGGGCTTTTTCGGCTTCAACCTTTTCAGGAGTTGTATTTGGGTCGAGCTCTGAAGGAAGCTCGTTGAATGGGACACAGATGAATGGACTGGTCGTGTCCGTCAAAGCAGCCCATTCGGCGGCGAGCTAGGCCACATGAGCTGTGTGAATTCAAGGGTTTGTATGATGGGGAAACTTACGCGTGTACAAGTCCAAGTGACTTCGCCAAGGAGTGCGCCATATCCCTGGTGATTGATCAGCATCCAAGATTCCCTTATATATTGGGATAGAGTATACTCACATCTTGAGTGAGGCCGATCGCTTTATTTGCCATCCAAGTCGAAACAGCAGAAGCACCTGGTTTGCTGTCCAAGATGTTAACGTCTTATCTTCTACCAGAATCCGCTCATGGATAGCCAATACTTACCTCCCCTCAACGCCATAAACCCCAATACTGGTCACCGAGCCTCTGGATATGTATGGGCAGGTCCATGTAACCAGGAACCGCATACGTCCATCTCTGTAGCAGAGACCTCCAGCAGGGTACGGGATATACCCAGCCTTGTGCGGATCAACTGTGATAGAGTCGGCGAAACGGAGAGCAAAAAGGTCCTCTTGAGTTTCGGCGCGCAGACTCGCATCTGGGACGAACCCATCCGACTCTCCCATCTCAGTGGGGAGATTGATAACCTCACCAGGGTGATAGTTCTTTGGAAGCATGGTGCAGAAATAACCTCCCCAAGCCGCATCGCCGTGAACGAGGAAAGATAGTCCTCTGGCCTGGAACTGCTTCCTCAGAGCAAGGACAGAGCTAAGGGAGTCAACGGCACCCTCTGTAAATGTGTTAGTTGAAAGATTTCATGGGCAGTGGCACTTATTCAACAAACCTTCAGTAGAACCAATGATGGCAACAACAGCGAGAACAGGATGCTCATTAGCCAAGTTTTCCTCAAGCTTCTTCTCGAGTTCGGCGATATCGAGGCGAGCTCCGTTATCAACGGCAATACCAATCACGTTGTCCGAGCCGACACCGGAAATTGCTTGTAATCATCAAGTCAGCAACGAGGAATGGGATATTCTTCGGTACAGGGGAAAGCTCACCAGCGCCCTTCGGCCAACTGTAATGTCTTGTGTTTGCCAACATGTACTGAGCAGGCTTTCCATCCGTGTAAGCTCTCTCAAGAGTGTCTTTTCCGGTGGACTGGATGGTGAATTTTTCCATCACAGAAGACAGAAATGAGTTTGATATTCCTTAAGAAAATAAACATGAGTTATGTTACAATTCCAAAAGTACTACGTAGAGAAAGCTTCTGAGAAACCTACCGTGCTCTTGATACAATCTGTCCGGGATATCAAGAATATCATTTGGTTTCAAATTGAGTAACTCCCATGGGGTCAACTCAGAGAACAACTTCTGTTTACCGACACAAGTCTCCACGAAGAACTTAGAGCTAATGTACTCGAGCGGCTGTTCAGGTTTCATAGCCTCGCGTAGAGATAGAGGGTAATACTTGAGATTTCGAGCTAAAAGATATGGGTGTAAGTGAGGAGTAATAGCTTGACAACAGTAATAGGAAAGATGATTACTTACCAACCCTGTGATTGCATTAGCTAAACCGTCTTAAGAAGGATATGAACAACGGTGTATTCTTACCACATGGATTCCAGATTGGCAACGCTTCCGTCGCAAGTGATATGTCCCCACCCTGTTGGTTCTTCCGTGGACTCGCTATCGACATTGTAGCCAAAGAGAGTACACAGCTGTTCGCCAACTTCAATTTCCGCAACCGTGGAGATGGGGCTGACCTCAATAGCTACGTTGTTGGGATTGTAGAGCATGGTCATGAAATAGCCCAACAGGGATGACATGCTCATGTCAGTACACCTTGAGCGACTGTGTTAACGTGGATCCGTCTCGCGGTGTTATTCAACTTACATATGACCCTCGTATCGTGGAGACCAGAATGGGATCGATGTTCGGCTGAGAAGGTTGGCTAGCTTTTTGACGGCATTGCTAAGCTTGTCCGTGGATTCCTTGAAGGCGGGCGTATTCTGGATTGCGCTGGTGATAAATTTCTATACGATGGTCAGCATTGGGGTAGCTCAATTGCAAACATTACAGGGAGCCTACTCCATCCTGGGGGTAATAATTGTGGCGGCCATTTCGGAGCTCCTCCAGGATGTTGTGAATGTTAGCCTTGAAGTAGTCCAGATTTTCGGCCTGAGGGCCAATGAAATAGGAACTAATGATTTGGTGGGAGATATCTCCAACGTCACCATTGGCCCTCCAAGCATTGGTCTCAGTCTCCTGCTTGAGGCTCTCTTGCTTAGCGGCATTCGTGGAGACTTGAGAGGGCATGTCTAGGGATTTGAAGGGGACTTCCTTGACCTCCACCTCAGATTCTCCGTTCAACTGCTGATCAGGCTCATCATCTAGACATGGAGTGCTCTCAAAGGGCCTAGCTACTGAGGTGACCTCAGGGTGCTTGAGTCCCGAGATTATTCCCTTCACAGTACCAGGAATTTGAAACGACATAGTCGCGACTGAGGCCTGTATGGGATCTTGAATGAAATGAAGGGGTGATAAAGAGTTGGGGAGCTTTCTTTGGTAGTGAAATGATAAACAATTTTTTTCCCTGGGGGTGATAGAAAATGATTAGACTTTAAGTACTTGGCGAAAGTGTGCGTTACATATTCCCATACCACACGGCATCAATACATGAAGGAAAGGTATTACGATCTGGAGTTGAGAAGTGAGGCGACGTACAAGTGCGGCGACTCTTGATGCCTTGGGAGCATACTGAACGTCGTTGCTACGTAATATATGAGACATGGACGGTGAGAATTTCACTCACTTGCATTATGCATAGACAATATTGGTTGTACGGCAGGAGGCTATATCCAACTAGGTCAAGATGAACATGACCAAGCTCAGCTGAGATGCATAGTGTTTTCGCCTATATGCAACAATGACACAAATGGCCATAGAAGCGCGAAATAACTCGGGCCCTCGTCCATTTGTTTTGATGATGTATGATGCGTACAGAAAGTATTGACGTGGAACGACCCACGCGGCTCATATTCATATTCCTTGGCCCTTTGCGATGTATCGCATCCGTTCAAAACAAGACAGAAAGTAAACCCGACGAGATGTGCCCAAGGCATTGATGCCCAGTCGGAAAAGGGCGGCAAAGAGCCAAGTGTCTCCTCGATCCGCTGAGGAGAAATCAAGTTCTCGTGTTGTTCGAAGACACGCATAGAGAAGCGGCATATTGCAACTCTGCAGGTAGCTGTTTTTGTAGGAAGCGGGGGAAATGTCTCGGAGGTGAGACGCCACGAAGTTACAGACATCGGTAATTGATCAATAGAGGAGCTGAATATGCATGAATGGACTGTTCAGAACTCTCGGCGGAGGTCTCCGGGAACTATAACTGGCCGAAATATCGGGGTCAGCTTGCGGGATGGGTCTCGAACCCCATCAGCGGCTGCACGGTACTTTATGCGGAGGCTTGGCTTTTGCACTATGACGAGTCCTTGACCGATTCACATGCTCTATTTATGACACATGAGTCTAGAGATAGACCGACCGAGGTGCGATATGATGTATCGCGCATGCATTGTAAAGGAGCGAGAGACTAGCAGCTGTGCATGGGCACGGGAGAGTAAGCCGGCCAGATTTCTCCCGTGCGATCTAGATTGGTCTATCTGCCCGAGAGGATATGCAGGTTGGGTCATGAGCTTCGCTGAGAGCCTCGGGCAGTTTTAGATACTTAGAGGGGTCATTCAGCGAGCAGGCTCTTTCCATACCGCCTAGTCTTGCATGTGTCATCTACTTCTGGCAGATGGGCTAGTATTTCCATGTCGGCTTTCTCTTCGTCCTAGGCCTGATTGTCTTTTTCGCAGCACGAGGAGGGAATTGAACCTGGAAAGCCCAACAACCAGTTAGATAGGTTTCACTTCAGAGACTTTCCAGGACCTAGATTATCATCCTAATACTAGTATAGGGCGCGCTTCTTGAATTAGCTCAAGGGTCCCTAAAATCATGATCATCAGTAATGAAATTCGAACGAAGAGTTTAAACAGTGAGTGGTGTTGAGTGAAGTGTCGGGCCACACTCAGGCGCTTATGTACTTGATGGTAGACGTCTGTTTATTAGCCATAAGAATACCCAGCCATTAACTTGGCATTTAATCCGGCAGTCACAATTGGCGATGGTGCCACTTTCTATAGCGGCGAATGATTAGGTCTCATATCACATGGTGGCTAATCATCTAGGCCGGAAGCCTAAGAAACTACCGTTTAGGTATGAAGAGGTGGACCTAGAAGTATGCTTCAATGTCTTTACCATATTTTTGCACATTCCATACTATGCAAAGGAGGGTCCATGAGAGGATTCATGTTCGAGCTGCTATTGCGCTTAGTTTTTCCTTTGCGTCGTAAGGGCATTTTTCAACCTGAGACGATGTAGTATAGACAGTGACATCAATACGCAGGGGTTGAATGTATTCCCCAATGAGGATAAACTTCTATCTTTTATTTAACGTACTCTTGATGTAATTTAAAGCATATATCATATAGCTTGGACTTTGCGTTTGAGACTTAAGGAATATAAGCTTTCATGACGAAAATTCACTCGCATTGAAGGGGAGAAGGAGTTGATAATCAAATCTAAATGGCACCCCTTAGTGGCTAAATAGTTATTCTAGGCCCTTCGGATCTTTAAATTGTGACGATGAAAGGACTAAGTTGAGTCGGAAGTTTGACTACGTTATTGTGGCACAGGAATGTGGCGGCACCGCATTGAGGGGGCGTTCCATAGAGTGAACCAAGTTGCGGTCATCAGGATGTATCCCATCCTCGAGCGATTCATCATGACGCCGAATTAAGCAACAATTAAATCTTTCCGCTCTTGGTAACAGCTAACATGAGCCGCTTGCCTCGGGGCGCAATATTGAACCGGTCAATCTTCTCCATCTCCCAGTTACCCATCTGAGAACCAAGCTCCAGTTGAACACCGGCGCGCATTAAAGAGTCAATCGCCCAGTAAAGTTCCTGCCAGGCTAGGTTTTGTCCGATACAGTTCCGTCGTCCAACCCCAAAGGGAGTCAGAGACGACTCCATCTCAACTGTGGCGTCGAGCCATCTATCAGGAACAAAGCTTTCTGGGCTTGGATATACCGCCGGGTTGCGATGATGAATCCAGTTCTGCATGCCGACAATTGTCCCTGATGGGAGACATAGGTTGTCCAACTGCATTGGCTCTGTCAATAATCGAGGTAGCGTCGAGATGATAGTTGGATGGAGACGCATCGTCTCCTTGATAACAGCATTAACATAGTTATTATTGCGCAACCCCGTGATGTCACCCTCTTGGAGCCCGCGGACCTCTTGATACAGTCGATCCTGGATATGTCGGTGATTGGGTTTTGAAATCTCATAGAGAATATAGGTGAGAGTTGTCGACGTCGTGCCTGATCCCGCAAACATATAAGTCTTCGCCTCTTCGACGAGTTCGTTGTGCGCTAACTTGCGATTAAGGAAGCGATCACTGCTCTGAGACAAGGGGTTCAGCAGATATTTGGTCTCTTCAGAAGAGTGCTGCAAGAAGTGGTCCACCATTTCGCGCGATGCCTGTTGCCAATCTGCAAAAGCTCGATACGAGGCGCCGATCGGCCCAGGTAATCTCGGCCCAAGCATGCTTGCAAATGGTATAGACGCGCTGTACATGAAGGCTGCCGCAGATCCATCAATCAGATCTAGCAGGTGGCGTGCGTCGTCTGTGGCGGTTGGTCCGGTGAATTCCTTAGCAAAGCCAGCCTGGCAAATGACTTCGAGGCTGTAAAGCCCGCATAGCATATATGCATCAGCAGTTCCAGATGCTGACGCCGAGGCTTGTGCAAGAAGGCGGGTCACGAGGATTTGCGACTGTTTCTGGATGATGGGGTCGAGCTGGGCTATGGATTGCAATGAGTCTGGAGAGCTGCTGAGCTTCCTGCGAGCAGCATGCTCAGCAGGGTCACTGCGTACATGTCAGGTTAGCAAGTAGGCACAATTATCTTATACACACTATAGTTCTTACATCATTTAGAAGATGTTATGCTAACCAAACATCCTAATGGGATCGTAAAAGCGGGCATCTTTGATGACGCCGCTCTTTGCCTGGTATCTTGTCCGAAGATGTCGCCAGTCACTGACGGATACCTCGTCAGGCCCAATGCGGACTATGGGTCCGTATTTGACATGTAATCTATCCAGCTCTTGGTTTCAACAGAAGATTAGCCTTATGAGGTGCAAGAGATGCTTCTAGATGTTTCACGGCATACGTAAACACGACGTCCCCGCATAGACTCCATGCGCAGCTTGATCGCCGTGAATTTTGCTGAGAATGGGCCGGGAATATGTCTCCATGGATCAAACAGAAGCCGCAAGAGGAAATTGAGATTTGATAATATTAGATGAGTCACCCATATAATATAGATACGGTCTCCCAGGGAGGATGAAACATACAGCTATACCAAGTAGAGTTGATATACCTAGTAGAACCCACGTATTCAAGTCCTGGCTTAGCCGAACAATTGTGTATGGAGTTGTACTCATATTGTCACAAGTGTCAAGGGATATATATATACACGGCACGGTGAGGAGCACAGAGATTGCGTGGAGTCCGAATTGTAAAGCTTGGAATTTTCCGTTGTGGTATAGATGTCTTGTAATGCCAATGTGACTTTCTAGTGTTTGTATAAACCACGCTTATATATATTGCGATCGGTATATGCACTGGCAGGGAACCAAGGTATATTATGCGGATCTATTTCCGGGGTATAGTATAGGGAGTGGTGGACTTCAACCTAGGTTAAAGGGAACGAAAGGCTGTACTAGCGGATGCACATCCGCTGAGGGAGTATTGGATCTGAAACTGGGGTAGAGGTGATATGAACCTGGGGCAAGGGTATGATAGCGGATACACATCCGGGGTATGGGGAGCATTGGGTCTTCTTCTGGGGTAGAGGCGATCTTCTTCTGGGGCAAGGCTAGAAGCTCATGTAGGTCATCCCGGCAATGGAGTGCATCGTGATCGTCATCGCCAATAGGTTCGGCCGACGAGTCAGGGCCAACTCCGGACCGTAGGTTAAAGAATCGACCTTTCCCCCGACACCGGAAGAACCGCGGAGTCCAAATTGAAGATCGGCTTTGATGTTGCTTGTCCGATACTAGGTGAGGCTTTAAACGCCAACAATGGGGACTCGGCAGATGAGTTTTCGCTTACGGATGACCTTGGAAGCGAATGTTTGCAATGGGCTTAAAGAAACGCTAGTCCACCTCCTCGGCGGCCTCCCAAGAATTAGCTGAGATGATCTGGACGCGCCATACGCTGTTGGCTACGTAGGGGAACATTCCATTGCGTCAAGCCACGTCTGGCCCCCAAGGATGTTATTGGTTGGTTAAGTTTGGCTAAACGGCGATCATTGCAGGTGGCTTGAGATCACGTAGCTTCATCAGTTAGCCACCCGAACCGGCGTACAGCCCTTCGGCCACTGAATCTAGAATGGAGAGAAGTACTCAGTCAGTCTCGGGTTTATTGACCAACCCGGCATTCCTACCTGATCAAGGTATATAGTAAGGTATACACACCCATCACCTACACTCGAGATTCTGTTCAGGGGGACGTTGACAGCGACCTTCACACGACAGGAACAAGCCCCCTTCACATTGCCGACCCCATTCATTATCACCGCTCGCTGAACAACGAAGCGAATATCGCGATACGGCAACACCATGGCCCCGGTACTGGAATACCGCGGCATCCAGGTGTCCGTGCCGGTTGGCGGGCAGGTGATGAGTGTTATCCTTTCCATGATATCACTCAGTGTCCTTTCTGTTTTCATCAGTATGGAAGAATTGTCCCATGATTGTGTTTGAGAAGGGCTTTACTAATGTTTCTGTGTAGCAAAAAGAGTGCTCACCATCAAATACTGGCGCAAGCTTCCGTTTGTTGTATGGGGTAAGAATCCCCGTCTGCCAGGACTCTATTTATTAGATTGTGTCAGCCCTTACTGACGATATCTTAGTGACCTTCGCGATTTACCTGGTATCATATCTCTTCGTCTTCGTCACGGCATTATTGCAGTACTCATTTGGAGTCAATTCGAGTTATGGCCTCTGCGACGGAGCTATCTTACTCTGTCTCGTCTGCTATGTTCTCACCAAGGTATGATCACACATTTCAACCCCATAAAAACAATCTAGAAAAATGCTAACGAATGAATGAACAGCTTGTAAGACACAAAAATACCGCTGATGTTGCGTCACTGGTGCTAATCAGGCACAGCTCATCTACCTGTTTCTGGTTGAGAAAGCTGTAAGTCAACACACCACCACTGCTTCAGATGCAGCAACTGACGATGACAGTACATCATCCGGAACTCGCGAAAGCGGCGGATGCAATCGAAATTGTACCTGTTCAATTCTTTTGGTATCATAACCGTGTTCGTCGCTGTCGTAGTACTAAACTTCTACTAGTACGTGGAGAGTCCGATGACTTTTTAAACTTTGCAAGCGGCTTGACTAACTCCGCGGACTTACAGCCGGATTGTCAGAATGGAGGAAGGCATTTGCTACATCGGAATGAAGGGCCTCGGCATTATCCCGCTTATCACCTTCGATGGAGTTGCCAACACATACCTGACTCTCATGTTCCTTATCCCTCTCAGAAGTAAGCATCGTCCCCTGTGCCAGATTGACTCTGAATATCCCATCCTAACATTAGAAACAGAACTTTACTCATTCAAGAACATGGCGAGGACGTCAGCCAACATCCGCCTACGGAATGTTGCTTTCCGCACATTCGTGGGATCAGTTTGCACCCTGCTGAGTAGCGCAGTGTAAGTGGGCAATACAACCAGATCGGCTTAATGCTTGTCCGGATTGAATGACTGACGATCTCTGTCCGGCAGAAACCTTACTGTTTTGGCGGCGCTAAACGGGGAACCGGGCTGGGTCTGCCTGATGCTCTGCAACTGTGACGGTTCGTTAAACCTTGTCGCCCTCCACTCTGAGGATCATCTCCACTACCCAGGACTTGATAGCTGACACTCAACCAGTGCTCTTCTCCGCCATCGTTATCTACTGGGTGACGTCCAAGGACAATGCAGGCACTACGGAGGCTAACTCATCACGCAATGTCGGCAATATGTATGCGGAGAACAGCATGGGCAGCGCGATCCGCAGACCAACCCACCTTGCCGAGCGGGAATACGCACCCTCGATCAGCGATGAAGTCGTGCTTGTGACTCCCGCCAGATCAAACCGACGACTTAACGAGGACGATAACAACAGCTCCAAGACGAGCAATTCCAAGGAGAAGGTCATCGTCGCCACCACTATCAAACCAGAGAGCAGCAGCGACGCAAGTATTGAAGCAAGTCGAAGTCCAGGAGAAGAAGATCTATATCGCCAAAATCCTTGAGAAAGCCGAAGAGCAGATGAATTCGATAAACCTCTAGACGAGAATCTGTTGGGATCTCCCCAGATCCAACACCCAAGGAACGGGAGGCCTTCTGGAACTTTCTGATCATTTTGGTCTATTTGACTTTGAGACGGCGCGAGCGACATTCCTCCACCCCAGTTTTAGAACCCGACTGTGAGCCACAGGTTTGGTTGAAAGAGGCCAAGAAGCTTAGATCGTCGGTAGATATGTATATGAGATGGACGACCACTTTATACCCATACTTTTTCCATTAGGTAGATTGATTAGAGTTCGATTGAACAATAGCACCCCATTACGAGATAAAGAAAAATTTCAAATTATCCCGAATATTATCGGTTGTTTCTTTGGCTATACCTACAAGCCCAATCGTGAATAGCTTTTACATAGTCTAAGATCAATAGGAAAGAAAATGCCAAATCAGTCTCGAAGGTATGGCCAAGGAAGGTTTTGGATTCCATGCCTGACATGCAGTGATTCCGGGCTCGTCTATTTCCTGTCCACATGACTTGGGAAGCAATGCCAGGCCCAGCTCTAAAAACATTAACTCCCACAACCAAGCCTCAAGCGGGAAAAAAAAGCCTATTCCGTCTAGAAGCTAATGGAGCTATCCGATACATTCCCACCGGATATAGCCATCTCCGATTCAATAACAGTCCTATCCCCATCAAGTGATACACACGGCATATACATTCCAGGTGAAATCAGTCGAGATCTTTGTGGAGCAGCAACCTTGTAGCCTTCATGTCTGCCATCCCAGGATCCTGGTAAGCGGTAAACGGGCGATGGTTAGGCTGTTCGGGGTAACCTTAAAAATCTCCGTTTCTCGTCCGTCTTGACTTTTTCCTCGCTTTGATTATCTGTCCGAGAACCACCCATCTTCCACGAGCACAGGGACAACTCAAATTAGCAGAAAGGTTCTGGGCTCAGTGGTATGTCATGGTGGCTGCTTGGGTGATGTAGCTGTCTGACAGTCTAGTGAGCCTTCATAGTGCTAGAACCCAATATTAAGAAATTGTGCGTTTGAAGCGACTGTGGTGGCTCGCTCAGTTGGTACGTTTTGGTTACTCATCTGATGGGACGAGTGAGGGACGCCGCAACAATGTGCAAGAAAATCGTCCTAAGAACGATATACCTGATACTATCCAGGCTGTGTTTGGGTGGTGGGTGTTCGAAAATAGGACGATCCCGAGCGCGACAGGGAGAATGACATAGTGGTTTCTATCCTTGTGGTTCACATCCCCAGTTATTCAGTTTTTATAAGCATACAGTCTTAAGTTAAAGCACAGGAACGTTGTATTTTGACCAAAGAGTCATAGTAAGGGGGTAAGGCCTAGCAGAATTCCTCTCAGCTAAAATCGTGGGCAATAATACTCAAACTGCAATGAAAGTCGAACGACGCATAGCCCTGGCAAAAGCCGGAATCGAACCATACCGCTAATAATATATAAATAATGAAACAGAAAAACAGTCCATGTTCCGTCAAGTTATTAAATTGTTTGTGCCTCCTTATCACTTCAAAGTATCAACGGGGAGGTGTGGCTGGCTAAGAACTGAAGACACAGAGAGCGCTAAAATTCCCTTACAGTTAAATTAGCCTGTAATCCTCAGCTAAAGGTTTCTTTCATAATGGCATACAATCTCGAGCCCAGATAGACGGCGTCATGGAACCACACAGTAGGTCGGCAAGACTGTGGGAGACAAGCGGCTTATAGCGGATGGTAGTAAGTAATTATTAAAGTAGCCAATCTAGACACACAATATACCGGACAAAGAAGGCTATTGGATTACTTCTTTTCCATTATTAGCATTCTAGGGGCTCAACAAACTAGACGAGAGGCTTACCTTGCTGAACTTCTCAGAGAAAAGGACCGTATTGATGCTGTTAGAGATGCCGCAAAACAGTACAACGATCAGCTGACTATTGACAGATGATTTAACTCATCGGTAGTTATACTGCTCACTTCAAACATTTGAGCCGAATTTTGGTCCTAATTCTAGTCAGCTTTAGATTTTCTCAAGTTTAACGCAGCGTTTCAACCCAGTTAGTTTAACTTGAATCACTGTTTCGCATGTTTTCGGTATTCTCACCTCAATTTCTCGCTCCTAATGCTGATCAATACAGGAATTAGCAAGTCATGTCGTGATTTTACGCTTGCAACATATATGAACATACGAGAATCCGGGTAATCGCCTCCTATGGATCACGTGTCAGATCAATATTCTACTCACGTCATCGGCGAAAAAAACTCACCTGCTTTAATCTTGCGGCCCTCTTAAATCCCTCATGTTAGCCAGCTACTTGGGAACAGCATCGTCGTCAAAGGGAAAAGCGTACTTCTTCCTGCTTCTCGGCCACCTTGTAAACCATTAGAATACGTTCATACATGATAGAAGGGCAAAGCAGAATACCTGAAGCCGGGATCGCCAAAACTATTTATTACTGTTGTCAGCAAGTGTCATCTACTAGCATAATATTAGGGGGCTTTACAGCGATTTTCTCCACGGCAAAGGATCTCTACTCCGCGGCGGCCTGTTGTAGTTCGGCTTGAGTCTGCTGCAGTTCGGCTTGGGTCTGCTGCGGTTGGGCTTGGGTCTCTTGTGGTTCGGATTGAGTCTATTGTAGTCAGTACTAGATTCATCTATTTATACGGGTCATCACTATACCTCTCGCTTCCTCTAACGAGGTTGTATTTAGCTTGATTTCCAATTATTTGACTAGAATGCAGCTTACCTTGGTTCCTGAGGTACTGGAGCACCCAGCGCCAGGACGAGGGTTGGAGACCTGTCGCAATTAGTTTGCCGTTCGTTTGTTTGGGAGGAAACAATGAGCCTTTACCATGGCCAGCAGCTCCGAAATCCAATCACTAAGCGTCGAAATCCCCCGCAAAAGTGGCTAACTGACGATTGTTGATGACGGTTATAGTGATGGTGGTTATGTTTGACGTGGTGGAATGTGTTGACCTGATGCTAATCAATGAATTAGCGCCAGCCATGAATCAATTTGGCGAACTGCGCCCGGATACTGACACTCACGATAATCTTAATATGAATTTGGTCGAATGGATGAAGGGAAGAAAAACATGCCCAGAGTTGAGGCGTGGCAGATGTTTGAAGGAAGCAAGCAACTGGAAACAATTGTGTTTATGGTACATCATCGCTACTTCAGGCAGTTATGCAGGTAGCACAGAAACCACTGTTGCCACTATCTGTCAAAGGTACCTCAGTTGTAGCAGTCCTGCCTTCCTCATGTAAACACCACACTGGTCAAGAGGATGCAGGGGAGTGTAGCTCTGTTCTATGGACTTTGGTGAAGGAACGATCGAAGCATTGGCAGGCATTTGTGCCTTTACTGACATCAGAAATGGGAAGGATGCCTCCCAAGTGAATGAGCATAGTACGGCTCAATGACGTTCCGCGATAAAAGCCGAGACTCAATCGGTATCAAAATGAATGGCAATATATAATAATTTTAATTATGAAGCGAATATACAGCTCTGATTAGAGATACAGTGATCATTTAGGACCGCAGTTAGTCACACTGGGGCCTTCCACCATCATGCGATGATACATCGGCCCGGTCTCATCATCACGTAAATCTCACAGATAAATATAACAGAATGGAGAGTTCCCAAGCGTGTTTAGAGCATCACCAATCGTTATGGGCTTAGCGTTTACCCCGAGGTCCAGAACGTCAGTCAGAAGAGCGTCTCTACTGGGCGGCTTGTTGAGGATAGTGATGGTACCCGCGATCTTCTTGGCCTCCTGCGGATGCAAAGCCTGCCAAAGCCAGTAGACACGGTCTACCATCGAGTGGTGAAGGAAAAAGATGGGATCATTAGGGGATGCGAAGAGATCAGCAGAGTCACCGCCCATGGTAAAGTGGCCAGAGGCATGGAGTCCGAGAAACTCATCGCTAAATCTACCTTGCAGCTCATCTTGGAATGTCGTAATGTTTCGAGAGGCAGCGCCGACCGTGATGTTCCACACGTTGGCGAAGGTCATCCACCTGTCCACGGCTGCGGAGGTGAGATCACGACGCAGGCATCGGGGGTTGTAGCCAAGCGGGCCGGTTGGGCTGGCCGCGAGGCCGTCCATTCCTGGGGAAACAGGGCCCAGGTTGGTTACCATGCTGGTCATTTGTTAATCTTTGCTATTTTGGTTCTAGGATTTCATGCCATAGGCCATGTCGACTTACTCTTTGAATGGCCCGTCCTTGAGACAGCCGCCTCCATTTCCAGATGGGAGATAGATGTTGTTGCTCCCGCCGAGACTGCCATTGTGGGCGACGTATTCACCATCGCCGCTCATGCTCGTCTCGCTTCCGTCGAAGAGGGGAGAGGAAGCAAAGTCAGAGCCGTCGAGCCAGTCCCAGTACTTTAAAGTTGTCAGCGATGGTTTCAGGTGTGTTACAGTGCAGAGGGGCCACTTGCTGGCTGTGTTCCGTGGTAGCCACACTCCTCTCGCAGAGCGGACTCGTAGGCCCAGGTGAAGTAGCGATGCCAGGTGAGGAAGTTACCCTGTGCGGAGTGGCTGGTTAGCATTTATGCACATCTCAAACAGACACGGGGCCGCAATTCCGAGTGGCATGTGCGCCAATGGAAGCGATCGGCCAACGAGTAACTCACCGTGCCGTGGATGCTCAGCGTCTGATTGATGTGGACGGCCACAAAGTCATCGTATCGAGACTTGGCCCCGGGGGCGAAAGAAGGATCGGCCTTGGAAGGCTTATTCATGATGCAGAGAACGGCATCAATGTAAGCCTTCCTCTCTTTCTTGGACAGTGCCCGCCTAACAAAAAAGCGCAAGATGTCAGCTAGTTTTCATACCATTCAATAGACGGCGACTTCTTACCAATTTCTTCGGATGGATGCTGTACCAAGGGAACATCTCTTTGAGCCATGCACCGACAGCGAGGAAACACCACCCTCTTGGCCTTGGAGGGCCTGGATGGCTTGGTTGTTGGCATCATCCAGGGCACCGGTCTCCGACACTTCCGTAGCAGCTACGGCCAGGGCCGACAGCCCAATGAGGCCATTGAGCACGGCTGCAAGAGAGAATCGCATGGTGACTTCCGCGGAGCGATTGGAACAATGTGCGACACTTGACGAGGCTGAAGAGGTGTCCAACGGCGGCGCAGAATGCAAAACAACCCGAGCGGAGGAGTCTTATACAACCAACCTTGGGGAAACGGGCCCCGGAAGAACGCGAAACGAGCTGGTAAAGGTGGTCTCTGCCTGCCCGGTAATTTATTCATTCAGCCATGCGTTGCCACCGTTGGTCGCATCTGTTCATGCAGACCAATTATTAAGTGTCACCTACGGAGTACTTTGCCCAATACATGCTCCCACCCCTGTCCTTGGCCCAATAAAACCTCGCTTCAACAACTCCGTAGATACCAAGGAGATCCCATCTCTGTGATTTGCACATTATCACAGCTGATCTCGTATTATGGAGCAAAAAAACACGCGTTTTGATCCCCACACTGCCCCCCAACACGCCCGTTCGGTTGCTTGTAGTAGCAATGTCGTTACCACCAACAACTTACCAATGTAGTATTCTCCAAGCTGACATCGTATGACCTCGCAGGTGAGAACCATATAGTTCCGGCTATACCTCTTGGCTCGTGAAATGAACATACTCTGTTCTGACTTCCCCGGCTTCTCGCTTTCCTCATACGGGGCTTGCACCGACGATCCAGAACCTCAATTGGAAAGCAGATGCGAAGAGGCTGCTTATTTGGGTCAGCTATAACTCAGGCCCTCCCTAGAATTCGTCCCATAAACAGTAAGAGCCTAGTCGTCTTGTTCTATTTACCCAGAAGACTGTGGAAAATCGCGCCGAACCCTTGGTATGTCACCCTGCTGGGGAGCTTTCGGGTCCGCCCTGAGCCTGGCAGCCGTCTCCTTCCAGCAAGGGCTAGCGGAGAGCCGTGATGTGCAGGAACCCTGGCACTGAAACAAGGGGTTCGAATATGCATCCCCGTCTAGGGTCGCAGATGGGAATGCGGCCCTTGCGTTCTTTTAGCCACCTCACAAGTGTCCCAAGAAGTCGACCCTTTGGGAAAATGATGCTGCTCGAGTTAGAGGCAATGCATGACCGCATTGCTTTTATCTTTTGGGTGTTCCCCAGACTGCGAGCCAGCTGCGCTGACTCTGATGTTGGCTCGTCCAAACTCTTCGTCCATTGTCTACAGTGGAAGACTTTGGCTTGCTAACCTCTTGCGGGCAAGATGAGCACTCCTGCTGTACCGATCGATCCGGCCAGGGCAGCGGAAAACCGAACGGCCCAGATCGTGGGTGTCACCACTGCGTTCAACGTGGTAGCGCTACTGATTACGATCTTGAGGACGTACACGCGGGTTTTTGTTGTACATTCGTTTGGCCCGCACGATGCCTTTATGATTCTCGCCGCGGTTCGTACACAATTTGCCCGTCTCCTGGTCTCATCTAGATCACAGCCTTATCTCAATCTTTGCTTCTTGAAACGCGCTAACATTGCCCTGGCCAGCTTTGCTCTCTCCTGGGCGGAACAGTCACGATGTTTATGCAGATTCCATACGGACTCGGCCACCACTCCGATACACTCTCTTATCCCGACCGAATTCAGATATCGAAACTGAGCTTCGTACAATCCATGGTGCCTCTCATTGGCGGGCTAGGCTTTCTCAAGGTCGCCATTGCCTTTGAGCTGAGGAAGCTGAGGAGTAATTCGTGGGCGTGGTACAATATCTTGCTCTGGTGCCTGATCGGTTAGTTGTTGATTCAAGGCTTACCTCTGTATCGTCTCGACTTGCGCTGACACCAGCTAGCATTCGTAACTGCATACACCATCATGGCCTGGATGACCTTCTTCCTCTATTGCAGTCCCATCGAGAGGATATGGAACTTCATGATGGAGGGCAAATGTTATGACATCCACCTGTTCGTCAAATTTGGCCTTATCAACACAGGTATGCCATACATCGCTATCTCATTGAAGACCAGCCTCAGCGCAAGACATGTTCAATTGACCGGTTGTGCATTAGGTTTCAACATTTTTACCGACGTCGCCTTTGCCACCTTGCCCATCCCCGTCGTTTGGACTCTTAAGATGCCTCGCAAGACTCGTCTCTATGTTATTGCTGTCCTGAGTCTTGGTTATTGGTAAGTCTTGCCCTCTTGTAGATTGGGGTGAAGTTATTTACTAAACTTTTGGCAGCGCTGTTGCCATGGGTGTGGTCAAGGCCACGCATCAAATTCGTCTCACAATGATGACTGACACCACATAGTAAGTACTCTAGTGATGAAGGCAATTGTACCAAACTAACGAGCTTCCTCGATAGTACTTACGACATCCAATTTTGGGGCTTGTAAGCAGACATCTCATCTGCAGATCCTTAAATGCCAAGCTAATCAATCTCTAGGCTCCAACTCAACATTGGAATCATCGCCGCCTGCGCACCATCTCTGAAGCCGTTACTGAAGTCTGTCCTAAACCTCAAGAGCTTGACTCCTCGATATGGATACACGAATTCGCAAAGCTACCACAACCAAAAAAGCAAAAGAAGGACAGCACTCTACACCATAGGCGGAAGCGCCGCCCAGGGGTACACCAAGCAGACCAGCAAAAACGACAACCTTGACGATTTCGAACTCAAATCCAATTATCGCTGTACGAGTAGCGCCAACCAAGGCACCTCTTACACCGCGACCGTCGCGGGTAGAGACGACTCGAGCTCAACGGGTGGCGGCCAAGGAGGGAAAGACGAAGAGGCAAGGAGGTCCAATAGCGAAGACATCATCCTTCCCATTGAAGGTGGGAAGATTGTCCGCACGACGGAGGTATCTGTTACGTACTAGCTCATGAGGAAACTACGTGTATAAAAAGCGTTTGATATTATTATAGCATTGGGAATCCAGGTATATGGTCTAAGAATCCTTCCACGCTCGGTCATGCATGTCTAAATTTTCCCTACACCGAGCGAGCACTTTTGCCTCGAAGGAATTGCTAGCCTCACCGGCGGCCCGGCACTCATTCGGGAGTAGTTCAACGTGAGGGTGTGATCGGCGTAAGCAGACCCACGAACTACCCAAGACTACCTTCCTTCGAGAAGCCGATCTGACAGTTCGGTCCGACAGGCTGGGCAATCCTTCTGGCTTGTAGGCAAGGATCGCCTTTGATCCCTGTAGTGCTGCGATGGTTCCTGGCTCGAAATACCGATCGCCAATCCCGAGTGACATTTCAGCGCCATGAAGATTGAGGATCTGCCATCGAAGTCTTTAGCTCGCGGCTTCACCGTCATCGAGGGAGTCCACGTGGCATTGTGCTAGATTAGAACCAGTTCCACGAGTAATATGAACTGAATGACATCGAATGCCTGCTAGTTACCCAAGAGTACGCAATAGGGATCCAAGAGGGAATGCGAAGCGCATGTGATGGCATACTAGTAAATTGGTACGTTGTCTTTGATGCCGGTGAGAGAAAAATGCTCGTGATATCCCTTGGGGGAGAAGAGATATTGATGGAAACAGCTATCTAAGAACAATCACTAGCTATGAAGAGTACTCTGCCTGAGAATGACATTCATCTTACGTGATACATATTCCAAGTGCATTGTCACCACACTTATTAAATGACATATCTGAAATCTCTATCAGAAATTCCAACAGCCTTGTGGGCATTTTCTTCTCCTGAAGCCAGCTTCTCATTCTGCTTCTTCAGATACCACCAGAAAAAGACAACTCCGCCAATGGCAAGGATAGCAGCACCTCCCTCGACTCCAATGGCCATAGGGTAGCGCTGGGCCTGGCTGTCTGGGAAGAGGTAGCCGCCGATAACATTGCCTACGTTGCCCACCATGTTGACACAGGCAATAGAAGCCGCTCTCTTTGGTGCCGGCGCTGGGATGGAACTGCCGATCCACGCAAGGTTCATGTTTGACGCGCTCGTGATACCCGAGATCATGAGAATGCTTGCGATGATGCGTGCGGGGACTGCCAGGGTGCCTCCCATGATGGCTAGACCGACAATGCAGACAGCCAAGTTTATGACGATTGGCCATGTGCGCTTCTTGATGCGGTCTGCATACCAGCAGGTAAGCAGAACGATGCAGAAACCGCTCAGGTATGGGACCGAGAGAAGTGCATACGTGATTTTTCTCTGAAACCCAAGAGTTGCCATGATAGTTGGGAAGAAGCTATAAGAATGTATTAGCCAAGCAAACACCCTGGCAAGAAAATGAAGAGAGCCACGTACTTGGTAAAGGAGGCACAGATGGTGATCAGAAGATGGTTCAGTGTTAGAATTCCCACCTTGGGATCCTTGATCATCAGCTTGAACCCAGTTCTCATTGAAGTTTTATCAGAACTGTTGCCCAGATCTTCCAAAAGTCGGTGCTGAGCTACAATTGACTCTTTTTCAGAAAGCCATCTAGGATTTAGTTAGTGATGTGTTGCATATCCTCGAAATATACAGTTTACATGCCGTGTATTGTGAGGATAGTTTGGAAGTGTGAAGTAGCAGATTCCAGCAACGGCGACAGTAAGGGCACCTTCGATGATAAAAAGCCTGTCAACATCAGAAAGGGTCAGCACAAAATGAATAACTTCTTTTCTCAACCCCACTCACCATCTCCAAGAAGATATATTGGCAACGTTATCCATACGCTCCGTGATGCCAATTGCCATCAAGCTCCCGAAAGACCCGGAGAGCATGCTTCCTCCAAACAGCAATGCCACACGCAAGCTCAACTCATTGCTCTTGTACCAAGACGAGCACAGATATACGGCTCCAGGGAAGAAAGGCGCCTCGCAAAATCCGAGAATGAATCTGACGGCAACAAGACCGCCGTAGCTATGGGCTAAGGCTGTACAACCGGACACGACGCCCCACACAGCCATGGCGCTGGGCAGATAAATAGAAGGAGGGACTTGCGACAGAAAGAGATTGCTAGGGACCTGCGTGAGACTTTGGAATTATTAGTACGCGAGTATCGCCAGCGGTATGGATGAAAATAGACTTACAGGTATCCGACGAAGAGAATAGACAAGCATGTGCTATATTCCGTCGAAGACAGCCCAAGCTCCTGCTGAATTCCGGCAAGTTTCGCAATTGGCAAGGCATTTCGATCGATGTAGTTTAGAATGTACATGATCATCAGCGTAGGAAACAGCCTCAGGTCAAGCTTCAGCTTGAGCTTCTTCTCTATATCTCGAGCTTCCTCGGGAGAGAACTTGGCATATTCGTCTCGAATATGTTGTTCGTGGGCGCTCAGGACGAAGGTAGTTCCGACTGCCTGCGAGGTGACGGAGGCCTTGTCATCTTTGAGGTTGGAGAGCTGAGTCGAGACGTCTTGGTTGTTAGCCATGATGAACCATGTAAATGTGTGTGTATCCCAATCAAAAATCGAATTTCAGACGGGTGTAACGCTCTATATTTAAGAGAATGTGACCCCTGCGGTGAGAGTTGTCCCAACGGGCTGGAGAAGCTTATCCACACTTGTTGATCGTGCTGAACGTGACTTCGCTTGGCCGGGAAATCTACCAAGTCCGGGGAGGACCAATCAGAAGTCATCCCTCGTGCCCCTGGCTCGACGATAACATCGAGTGAGCTCTGTCAAACAGCGCCATTTTGGAGTGGCCGGAAATGATAAGCCCCCTGGGCTGAGTCGCAGAGTCTGCCCCCGGCATCATATAGCTTGAACCTAACTCTGGGCCGAGTCAAACCAGCTTGTGGGGCTTCCCCAACCCCAAATCCACCTAGTCGGATCTGAAGACGCAGGTCAAGGTACAGGGAAGAAGCCACTATTGATAAGTGGTTGATGAAGTCAGTCTTGGGAAGTTTGAGTATCGACGACATCTCCTTGTTCATCTCCCAACAGGCCATTTTGCCAGCTGTTGCCCGTGCATCCAATATGGGATCATCCGCTCTTATTCAGAAGGCGCTGAAAATTCGCGACGACAGCATCGACAGTGTGCTTCCTGACGTGACTCTACCGGATCCTCTACCCCAAAATGTTCAAGGAATTCCTGACACTATCCTGAACCCAGAAGAGCTTCAAATCACCGGATACGACACTCTACAGCTTGTGCAAAAGTTGGCGAGCAGAGAGTTGTCATGCGAGTCAGTTACCAAAGCCTTCTTGAAGCGCGCTGCGCTAGCCCAAAAGACTGTGAGTTAGGAAGCAATTAGACCAGGGTTGCAAGCGTTGACAACTGGCTGTGTCAATTAGGTGAACTGCATCACAGAGCTGCTGCCTGAACATGCTATCAACCGCGCAAAATACCTCGACTCCTTGCCGCACCCAACTGGACCGCTCCATGGGCTTCCCATATCGATCAAGGAGCAGTTTGGTTTCGAGGGTAAAATCAACAACAATGCGTTCGTCGTTAACTGCGACCGTCAACAGATCCCTGCGTGTACACTTAATACAGTTTTGGAGGAGCAGTGCGGTGCTGTCATCTTTGCTCGTACTTGTCAGCCGCAGTCTGTGATGCATCTCGAGACCAACAACAACATCTATGGAAGAACAGTCAATCCTTTCAATCGGAATTTGACAGCTGGCGGCTCATCTGGAGGAGAAGGCGCCCTCGTAGGCTTTCATGGTAGTCCTCTTGTGTGTTAAAAAAACACCAATAGCAACCTATGGGGCTTATCCGGCTTTCTGACAGTTACATAGGGAGTTGGTGGCGATATTGGTGGCTCGATCCGTGTCCCGGCAGCAAATTGCGGTATATACGGTTTCAAGCCCACTCCTTTCCGTGTTGGAAATCCTGGAGGAATGGGACTCATCGTCGGTCAAGAAGGGTGAGGCACAATATCAGCCATTCTACTACAGATGCGAGCGCTGACATCAACTAGCATAATTGGATGCATCGGTCCACTCGCACCGAGTCTCTCTGGTATTGAGCTCTTCATGAAAGCATACTTGGGGACTGAGCCCTGGATCAAGGAGTCATATCTTACTCCTTTGCCCTGGAGACAGATCCAGCTCCCCAAAAAGCTGAAGATTGGTGTTATGTGGTCTGATGGCATTGTTAAGCCTCATCCTCCCATCACACGTGCTCTTTCTTTATTAGTGAACTCGTTGAAATCAAACCCTGCATTTGAAATCGTGGATTGGAAGCCGATCGATCACGATAAGTGTTGGGACATTACTTGTGCGCTTTACTGGGAGGACGGAGGCCGCCGTCTTCAAGAAGTCCTCCGTTGTGGAAATGAAGAGCCGTTGGAGCTCACCAAGTGGCTGTTGGAGCAACCTACCATGAAGCGTCGAACTTTGGAAGAGGTTTGGGCAGTATGTCTCACCACATTCCCGCCACTATGAGATTTCATAGCTAACATTTCCGGCTGCAGCTCAAAGCGGCTCGAAATTCGTACAGGGCCATGTACAACCAACATTGGCTTAACACTGGCAAGGAAGACAACCATCCTGTTGACGCCATCCTTTCTCCCATTGGCCCCGGATGCGCCCCGCCGCATGATCAGTCCAAGTACTGGAACTACACTTCTCAGTGGAACCTGCTCGAGTACCCGTCGATCTCGTTCCCAGTCACCAAGGTGGACCCGTCCCTGGATGTTCGTGATGACAGCTACAGACCAATAAGCAAAGCTGATGAGTTCAACTACGAATTGTACCCCGGGCCAGAAGCATATGAAGATGCTCCGGTCTCGCTACAGCTGATTACTCGCCGATACGAGGATGAGAAGTGCATAGAGATCTTGAAGAAAATCGAGGCTGCAACATATGATTTGAGAAATTAAAAAAGATTGAATCTGGTCATATAGAATAGAGAATCAGCTAGAAAATCAACAAACTGCCGGCCGTCTAGACATGCTGGTAAAAGAAAAAGAGCCTCCCAAGACATCATGAAGTTAGATATATGCGTACTTGTGAGGCCAAATTGTATTCAAGTTACTTCCACTGATGCAAAGGATCCAGGTGGTTTGTATCTTAAGCATAATCCTGTTCAACCTTAAAAAAATTGTGACTGTTTCTTCAAATACCTTTAGAGGTTTCAAATATAGAAGTTCAACTACAACCCCTCAGCTCGCCGTATGTTCCCCTAAACGTTCGAACCCATCACGATGAATATTGAGTCTTTGAGCATTTCGAAATGGTTAGAGGGGTATTGCCCTAGTAGATGAACTTGCTCGATGCCTCTGTCTTGTTTCTAGTCACTAAATTCTGTCATTCTGATGTTTCTAATCCAGGTACATTTCTTTTAATTACCTCCTGATTATATCCTAATATTTAATATAAGAAAATGAGTCATGTAAAAGCAAATGAGTTTCGAGCCTAGCCAGAAAACACTCCATAGCTAGGTTTGCAAAACTAAACATTGAAGTATTAATTAAGAATAAGATTGCTCTAGCGTTTATAAGCGCTTTTTATTATATTCTCAGCCTTTCAGACCATAGATATTCTTAGGCATTGGCTGTTTCGATCACCGAACCCTACACGTCCATTACAAGTACGTTGAAGTCATTCCCAAATACGGCCGTTCCGTCTTGATCGCCAAATAGGCTACGGTTCCTCATCCTCTGTCTGCGCTACTGGAGGGAAGATCTCTGGGATGTTAGGTTCTGGGGCTCTTCGTGATTCAACAGCGGATAGCCGCGGGCCATATGAGCGCGATCCAATACGTGGGCTAAAACACCAAGAATATCAACAATTCTGTCAATACACTCAGTTTCTATGATTTTTGATTTGAATACGCTAAGTTGATCTTACATGTAACGGGTGAAAGTTGCTGTTTAGGCTTCTAGGCCCTCAGTACAATGCCAGGCACCATACAGACTCACCCACCATACCGTACCTAGTTCTAGCGTTATATTCCTAGTGGACGCTATCTAAAATCAATCTGGATTTCCATAGCTATCCGACAGGTCACATTCCCCAATGCTAGATGCTTCCCCTCCCCGTAAGTGCAGAAACGGACCCTGTAGCCGCGGGGAGATGGAAAGTTACCTATTTTGATCTGGCCTCATCCTACAGCCCGGCCATTATAATTAGATAATGTTCCCGGGGCCCCAGATAACGAGCAACTTGTTTGCCACTGACTCGGCCCGCCTCCGTATTGGTCTCCGATAAGCGAGCTCACCTTACAACGAAAGAAGTAATCACTCCGCAGCAGCATTTCATGCAGGTGCAAAGATGACCTCTGATGAGCAGACCGAGGTGGGCAGAAGTGTGGCTAGCAGTTCTTTCTGTTACCAAAACAACATGAGTCTTATGCTCCATCCACAATGCGGAGATACCGACTTTCATCCGCTACCTGCAATTACCTCAACAACAAACAGTCACATATAGCATGACGATGAGTAGAACTATTTCAAGTGGATTGTGCATGGCTTCCCTGTGTTTGATCGAATGATTCAGGGAAAGGGCGACGGACAAACATCCTAATAAGAGGTAATCTGATTGTGCCCGATGATCATTCCCTACATCCTATTCACTGGCTCGTACTATCCAAAGCGTCAGTAGCTAGTTATTGAGGCTCTTGAGGTACGAGTCATTAATGAAGTAAGGTGAATGATCTCACCAAACCAGGTTTAAGGGTTTTGCTGCTGCTCATGTGTTCTACACCATTGCCAGCCAACTAAACTCACACCACTCAATTCCATTCGACCGTATATCATCGACAATCTCTGGGATCACCATGATGGGTTACCAGATTGGGAAGCCCTTCCGATGGCTCATATCCCTTTCAGCAACGCCATGAACAATTACCCAAAAGAATCTCCCCGTCCATTATCAACCTCTGTATTCTGTGACGTGTTCATACACTACAAGGACTCCAAAATCCAGCCCATCCCAGACAGTGACACTTGGAGGTGGAGTAATCTCAAACTAGTAAACCTGCTAAAGCCTGATTCGAGCAAAGATAGCGGTTCTGGACTCAGCCCTCACTGATACCGCCACCCATCTATGATATGACTCGGCCCAACATCCATTAGCGTCCCCCAGATTTAGGAGTGCAGTATTCCACACTACTAATGTGGGGTTCCTGTACATTGGAAACTAGGATGCAGCAAATTCTACTTATCATCTTCATCTCGCTCTCCTTCTGGTGAGGCCGACAGGCAGCATCAAATTCTTTCCAGACCAATATACAGTTCCACTCTGAAGATGCAGTCTACCAACGACACCAAAATCGAGCCCCAGGCCAAAAAGGTCGACGCCGATGGTGCAAGTTTGGCCTACGCTGAGTGTGCCAAGCCAGGGGAATCTGGCCAAGCCCAGGGCATCCACTATGAGGAAGCCGGCTTGAAGCGGAATCTGGCTCAGAGGCACTTGGTAAGTTATCTTCGCCAAGGAAACACAGAGAGCAGATGTTCAGGATGGTCTTGCTAACGCGGTTTGTCGGTGGTCTGCTCGAATAGATGATGCTGGTGATTGGCGGTGTTATCGGGCCTGGCTACTTTGTTGGCATGGGGACTGGTCTCTCGGGAGCCGGTCCAGCTGGCCTTTTAATCTGCTTTGCCATCATCGGCCTTCTCCTGTGGGGAGTGATGCAGAGCCTTGGCGAATTGGGCGCCTTTATTCCAGTGTCAGGTTTGTGCCAATCCCACGTTGACTCCTGTCTCTATCAATTGCTAATCAACTCTTTGATGCCACTACCCAGGTTCATTCGTTCATTACACCGCACGATTTATCGATCCGGCCGCTGGCTTTGCAGTAGGATGGAACTACTGCTTTCTCTGGGCTGGTATCATCATGGCCGAATATAATAACCTGGGGTTGGTGCTGGGCTACTGGGACACGCCGATCCCTAGATGGGGTTGGATCCTTATGTTCTGGTATGTACTCGGATTTCCAAACAATCTAGTTTGTCAACTTGGGTCTGACAATGGATTTGCCGTGAAACAGGACCGCCTTTATGTTATTTCAGTTCCTTGGTATCAAGTCATTCGGCGAGGCCGAGTTTTGGCTGGCGTTGATCAAAGTCCTCTCCATCGCTGCATTCTTCCTCTGCGCCATCCTCATAACCACAGGTGTCATCGGTGGCGAGAAGATTGGGTTCAAATTCTATCAAGACCCGGGTGCGTTTGCCAATGGCCCCAAAGGTGTGTTTGAGATCTTCGTCTTCGCCGCTTTGCAATACAGTGGCTCCGAGATGGTTGGTCTTACGGCCGGAGAATCCGCCAATCCTTCCCGCGACGTGCCGAAAGCCGTGAAGAGCGTCATCTGGCGCATCGTTGTCATTTTCCTAGGAGGCATCTTCTTCTTGACACTTACCGTGCCCTTCAACCACCCTGATTTGCTCAACCCCAAGAACAAGACTGCCAGCTCGCCGTTTGTGATTGCATTCACTCGCGTCGGGGCATATGCAGGCGCTCACACCATCAATGCAATCATCGTTGTTACAATTCTGTCGGCGGTCAACAGTGCGCTGTACGTCGGTTCTCGAACCCTTGTTGGTTTGGCAAGTCAGGGACAAGCTCCCAAGATGCTTGCGTGGACCAATTCTCGTGGCGTTCCTGTCTACTCTGTTGTCATTATGAACTTGATTGGTTTCCTTTCTCTACTCAATCTCTCCGCCGGTGCCGGCAAATTCTATACCTGGGTCGTCACGATGACTGGCGTCGCCACATTCATCACCTGTGAGTACTTGCTGTCTATGTTCAGTCTAATGGTGAATATAATCAAATGCTAACATAAACTTCGTAGGGGCTTGCATCTGCCTTGCTCATGTCCGTTTGCGCCAGGCATTGCACCAGCAGGGGATTTCCGAGGACGTGCTTCCCTTCAAGGCCAACCCGTGGGTTGCATGGGTGACCTTTGGAGTCAACATATTCTTCATCTTCTTCCAAGGCTGGACGGCCTTTGCCCCTTGGAACGTGGAGGCGTTCTTGCAGAATTACATCATCGTGGCGGTGTTTATCGTTTTCTATGTTGGGTGGAAATTCTACCATAAGACTCCATGGGTCCAACCCAAGATGGCTGATCTGATTAGCAATAGGAGGGATCTGGAGCCCGTTCAACAGGCTACCCAGTAGGTTGTTGGAAGAATGGGAACTGTAGTGCGCTAACTCTGTATGTTATCAAGCTGACACACCCGATTTCATGTCAAATAACTGTCACTCTTGAACGAAAGCTCAGTTTCACGCGAACTATCGAGTACCACCTCCCATCTTATTGTTCACTATTGTAAAACTTGGTTACTGTGCTACTATTGAGAAGGAAATATTCAAGACGGATGAATATTAGGGGTTGACTTGCTTACGATGAAGAATTAAGTCATGCCATACCGTGCATTATTTTCCTTGACTTTATGAGCCAATATGAAACTAAATACTCCTCATTTGTGAATCTACGATAAGCTAGCAAGCCTCCTCATTCTTTTCCTCTTCAGCTCTCCTATGTATCTCTCGCTAATGATGATAGTGGTGATGGTAACGACGATGGTGAGGATTCATAGTTAGGTTTCTGCTTTTCAATTTCCCAAAGTCGTTGTGGCATGCCATAAGGAGGTTGAGGATCTCTATTTTCTTTCTGATAATGATGATAATGGTGATGGTGATGATGGTGGTGGTGGTGATGGTGGTGATGGTGATGGTGATGATAGGTGACTGGGCTTGTGCTTCCCAACGTCGCAAACGCATTGTTATAGGAATTTGATTGCCACGGTACGGGGCCACCATTCGGTACTCCATCTCGTTGGTTAGTAGTCTGCGGGTTGAATTGCGTTGACTGCCTTCTCTCAATTTCCAACTCCAAAGCGCTATAGTCAGGGTTGGAATGTTGGAGAGAAGAGATGTTGTCTTCTCCAATTGCGGAGGCACCTGATTGCGCATACTGTGGTCCACATCGAGAGAGGAAACTTGAGGCAATGCCTATAGAAGTTGTCGGTGACGATGCCGCATTTGTTTTGGTGTCGAATTCGTTGGTTGTATCCCAAGCTGTGGTCGACTGGCTCTGAGTCTGGATGCCCGGTTCTATTTCAGTTGACAACATATCTGTGAACGCATAATCCATTGCGTCGAAGATCGTTTCGGTGGACGGAACCGTCTCTCCCAAGAAACTGGGCTGCGACTCTATATCCTCGATCTGCTGGAAGGTGTCCAATTGCGCTACGCTAGTACTTTGATGACTATAAAGATCATGGGTAGGTGTTGTTCCAGGTGTATACGAGAGGCTAGCATTTGAGCCCAACGCTGAATCGTGATCCTGTATAGTTTCTTGGGGAGTGTCGCACGATAGGCTCGGACTGCCGCTGTCTTCACCACTGGATACTATTGCCTGCTTAGCAGATAAATGCCTCCACCGGTTTCGACAGGTTAATGGAGGTCGTCCAGGGAAGAGGGCGGAGATAGCGGACCAACGATGGCCGAGAGACTGGACGCTGTCCCGTAAGACCTGGTCCTCCTCTTCTGACCAACCCCGAAGCCGATCTTTGGCTGACGGGGAGAGGATATCGTTGTAACGCTTGGAGCATTGGTCATCCTTTCTCCCGGGGATCAAAAGACAAATGTCGCTCCAGGCCGGTCCCAACCTGGCATATGCCTCTAGGAGGATACGATCCTCTTGTTGAGTCCATGGCCCTTTGCGGACAGACGGATCCAGCGAATGAAACCAGCGCTTCCGGCATTCCTATCAAGTTCGGTAAAGTTAAGAAGAAGTGAAAAAAAAAAGAAAGAAAGAAAGAAAGGCTGAGTTGTAACGAGAAGGGCAGTAGAAGGTCGGTTATCATCCTTACCTTTGCTGTGCGATCTGGCAGTCCTCGAGCAATATCTGTCCACCGGCCCTGGCGTCCTCGAGCAGAGCCGAACTGGGAGACAAGGTGTCTCAAGGTCTTATCCTCTATATCAGTCCATGGGCGGCGGGCCTTATCCATGGCTCGCGGGCGCTGTACCTGGGAAAACTCTGACATGGTGGCGGCGAGTTGCTGGCGAGGATTGGGTAGTTGGCCGAGTCAATATCTCGTTGAGGTGATTGGAGCTCCCAGAGGGCCAGAAGTTCAACATGGAATAGATGCTAGCAGGACCGAGTAAACACCCCAGAAGTGCAATTCTAGCTGCTCGGTTTATTATGTACCAGCTTGACTAGCCACTTGCAAGCTGCCTACAGGTACTTGATTCCCAAGTCCCTGTACCTACCTTTACTCGTGCACGACGTACGCCCATCCCGTGTTACGCTGTAGGTGCGCGCTTTACCCTCATAGAGCCGGGGAGGTCTAATCGCAGGGGCTCCGGGGCCAACAGGGGACCGCTACGGCTGGGCAATCTACAGTGGGGTGCCTCCGCTGGCAGCCTCCACGATAAGGGCCTTCCCCGGAAATGAGCGCTATATGGACTAAACGTAGCGCCTGACACCGCCCAGCGATAGGCAACAGCCCCTCACTCCACCCACTCTTTGACTCGGCCCAGCATTTCGGGCCAACCGCGATGCTTCATTTTGCATGACACGACTTGACACCGCATTAGCCTGAGCCTGTGTCTGCTGTGGCCCCCTCCACACACACAGACTCAATATCACTTTTCCCTACCGGAAAACAGAACCCTGGGTCAATTCCCGCAATTGCCCCGTCCGTCTTGGGGCCATGCCAGGGCTCAGTCGAAATCTGGGGCCAGGCCGAGTCCTGGACACTTGCCGATATCTTGCCGACCAGAGATAGGCGAACCAGATTTGCCCCTCTGACTCGGTCTTCAGATCTTCAGCGATGATAAATAGGCCCGAACTTTGCTTGGAAGGTGATTCCGAGCAAGGAACAGAGCAGGATAAAACAGAACAAGCAGGAGTACAGTTCACTACATAAACCTCATCTGCTTTCCGTCTTGATCTGTTCATCCTTCCCTTTCATATCTCGCATTCTTCCAACACTTCTTTCCACCTTCAATCAGCCGCCACAATGTCTGCCGTTGCTGCGAAGGAGTCCTACCTCCACCCTCTCGACCCCGCCACGGCCGAAGAGATTGAGAAGGCCACCTCCCTCGTTAAACAACTCTTCTTTGGTATCCCACTCCACTTCAAGGCAGCCGGCCTCGATGAACCCCCCAAGCGGGACCTGTCTGCCTATCTCGATGCTGAGCACGACGGCAGACCGCTTCCTCCTCTGCCTCGTCGCGTCTTTGTCATGTGGTACATCCATCGCACTCCCAGACTATTTGAAGGTGTGGTCGACGTGACAAACAACAAGGTTGAGCAGTATCAAGAGCTCCCCCGCGACTTCCATGGCCCTGTTGACCGTGCTGAGATGAACGAGGCCGCTGAGGTCGTCATGAAGGACCCCAACGTCAGAAAGGAAATTCAGCGTCTCAAGATTGACGACACCACCATTGTCCTCGACCCCTGGGACTTTGGCGTTGATGGAACCGAGACACAGGAAAGACACACACAGGTCTTCATGTACATCCGCAACCCTGAAAACAATGACCCCGACTCTTGCCACTACTCCTTTCCTCTCGACTTCATGGTCATTGTCGATCTAGTTGCCATGAAGGTGAAGAAGATCCTCCGTCTCCCTCTTGGTGTGGACCAGAAGACCACCGAGGTGTTCAGCGATGTTCCGCACCGCAGGACCAACCTCTTCGAACCAGAGTACACACACAGACTCCAGAAGAACCCGCCCCGAACCACCATGAAGCCTTACCAGGTCATCCAGCCAGAGGGTGCTTCATTCACCGTCAAGGGGCACCTGATTGAGTGGGAGAAGTTCCGCTTCCGTGTTGGTTTCAACTGGCGTGAGGGTAAGTCATCCTCATCCAAAGCCGGGAGTGGCAAGGCACTAACACCATATTCGCAGGTATGACCATTCACGATGTTTCATTCATGGGCCGCAAGGCGTTCTACCGTCTTTCTCTCTCTGAGATGTTTGTCCCATACGGCGATCCTCGCAACCCTATCTACCGCAAGGGCGCTTTCGACCTTGGCAATGTCGGTGCAGGTGTGACTGCCAACAACCTCGCTCGTAAGTTGCCCCTGATCCTCAGTCCATGACTATTTCTCCTCGATTGGTTTCTAACCCCTCCCATCATAGTTGGTTGTGATTGCCTGGGAGTTATCAAGTACCTCGGCGGCCATGTTGTCGGAAATGACGGTGCTGCCGTCGAGAAGCCCAACGCCATCTGCATCCACGAGGTCGACCAGGGCATCCAGTGGAAGCACACCAACCACCGCACCAAGAACGCCACGGTGGTGCGCAAGCGACAGCTTGTTCTGCAACAGATCATCACCGTTGCCAACTACGAGTATATCTTTGCTTGGATCTTTGACCAGTCTGGCGAGATCACCTTCGAGACCCGCGCCACCGGCATCCTCTCCACTCAACCAATCGATGCCGATGCCAAGGTCCCATGGGGAACTCGTGTCGGCGACGGTGTCATGGCTCCTTACCACCAGCACATCTTCAATGTCCGCATTGACCCTGCCGTAGGCGGCCCCAACAACTCCTTCGTCTATTCCGACTCGGTCCGCATGGACTGGGACGAGGAGCTCAACCCCCTGGGCACGGGATACGTGACCAAGGAGACCACCATCCACCGCGCCAGCTCCGTCCAGGACAGCGTCGCCGACGGCCGCGTCTTCAAGATCGTCAACCCCAACATCGAGAACCCCGTCTCCAAGACCCCCATCGGCTACAAGGTCGTCCCCATCCGCTCCCAGATGCTCCTTGCCCAGCCGGGCTCCTGGCACTGGCGCCGCTCCGAGTTCTGCGAGGCCCCCATGTGGGTGACCAAGTACCAGGACCGCCAGCTCTTCCCCGCGGGCGACTACACCAACCAGTCCCTCGGCGGCACGGGCATCAAGAGCTGGACCACCCACAACCCGGACCCCGTCGTCAACGAGGACATTGTCGTCTGGCACACGTTTGGCTTCAACCACATCCCCCGCGTCGAGGACTTCCCCATCATGCCCGCCGAGATCGCGCAGATGCACCTCAAGCCGTACAACTTCTGCAACTACAACCCCACCAACGACGTGCCTCCGTCGAACCAAGAGTTTAACAAGAGTGTGCTGTATGAGGATCAGCAGGCTGCTTCTGCCGATTTGTGCTGCCGGAACAAGCTGTGAAGATGAAAATTTTGGAATTAGTGTTTGTTTAGCAATAAAATATCTCATAGAATTTGATAAAATATGTTGTTTATTTTCATTTAAGAACTGGTCGAGCCTACTTCACATTGACATTACACGCCCAGTAATCATTGCTTCAATCCAAAATCTCGAAGATAATTTTCAAAGCTTTAGTCGGTCAGGCATCTTAATGCTCTGTTCGCCTAGGAATACGGTTGAGCCTTTAATAATGCCAACATAGCATTCACATTGTACACGCAGCTATTCAATACTTGCACCTCTTCATCAATGATCTAAATTCTCATTAATCAACTTATCATCATTTTGGCTCTGAATTACCTCCGTCCTCTTTTTGCATTTGGCAATCTGCACGAGCGTGATGACCGTTATGGCCGACTTACCTTCGCGAGGGCTACATCACTTAGGGCTCTTGAGAGCAGCTAGCAAATGAACGACCTGCATTTCAGTATTTTCAACTGCAAAATTCTACTCCTGTTTTCCCACAAGAAGGCGAGTACTAACGTACACCGATAAAAGGGTGATAGTGTGCGAGTAGAGCGCTCAATGTATGTAGCCAGGAGATAGAGACGAGGACCAGCTCCCTTGGTAATCTTGCACTTGATTCGTTTTCAGTTACATTGTACGAAAGGAGAATTCAATCGCCACTGGGAAGAAATGATAATTGAATGGTCAACATAAATTCCTGCCAGCACGGATGGTTCTAGATACCCATTAATGCCAAGCTCCCTCGATGGTGCGGCAATAATGCATATTGACAATCACAGATCTTGAGAAACTTGATGCCACTTGAATCTTTCAATCAGAAGGTAGTACGATTTTGCATCACCAGATTGTACGTAGATTGGTCACAGTCGCCCCGATCTCGGCGAGTCCGCGCTGAATTAAATTCGACACCTCAGCAGGTCTGTTACCGGGATATTTCAGCGCGACCCATTGGCGATAATTGTCCTATCTTCTCCGCACGTGCTTGACGTGGTCTGATGCTGAACGATGCAAACCAGGCTTGCCAGGGTAGAGCCAAGGAACTTATCTAATGCTGCATCGATGACACATTTCGCCACTGTCTCGCGAACAGTTTGATCGCCTGGGATCTGTACGCCACAGCGGTAATACGGACCGATTCGATGAGACCTGGGCCGGGCATCGCAATCTGTCCTGCGCGCGACCAGGGTGGTGATCAGGAATACTACCAAGATGACAGGTGATTGTTGCATGGGTGCTGCCGGTTGTTCTCTCTCATCTCTCATCTCACTCCACACTAGCGAAAAGTGCCGGCCAGCAGAAAAAGAAAAGAAAGATACCGTAGAGGAGCGAGCGCATTCCAAGGTGGTGCGACTGCCATGCCATGTAAGCCCGAGAATTGGCCCAATGTGATGGCTCATCCGAGACACGACACTCATGCCGCCCGCCCGTTGCATCAGGGGCGTTGGGCATCCATCCATCAGTCGAGCCATTGCCCGCCTTTGGCCGAGAAGACATCATTCCAGGACTGCGTTTTGACCCCCCGCGGGAGATGGGCTGGATGGACGTCCAAGCAGCAGCTCGGCAGAACAATAAACACAACCGCCCAGTTGCTCTGAAAGAGGCCAATCGTGGCCACATACACCACGAGGATGACGACTCATGCTTAATTTACCCTAGCCTTAAAGCTTATCAGCCATGCAGACAGTCCCCCATCCCCTGTAGGTTCCATCCCCTCGACCTGGACCGGCACTATTACACATCCCTTCCCTCGGCTCCCTCCTCAGCGTGGAGTCCTGGGAGGCTTAGGCTTCTTAGTCTGCGACAGACCAAGAGGCCATGGCTCTCTGACAAGACTAGCCCCGTCTCTATCTGCCTAGGTTCCCCGCTTGCCAAGGGGTGAACCTGGCCTGGGCGTGACACATGACGGGGGTGAGCACTGGGCAACACATCTGCCGCGAGTATGTGCCCTTTCGCGTGAGACATGGCACACCTCAGTGACGCCTCTGGATGGGCCAAGACGCCGACGGCGGCCCCTTGTGCATTCCTCCTGGCCTACCCAGATCAGATGCATATCTTCCCTCCCAAGCCCGTCCTTCCTCCGTCCGTCGTCACCCTTCCATCCTCCCCCCTTGTACCTTTTCCAGAACGTGTTTGTGGCAATGGATTAAGCCACAATGTAAGGTTCCCTGAGCACGCGGCGACTACAATTAGAGTTTTGTGCTGCGTATACTTTATCACCACCCAGACACCAACCAGTCAGTGTTAGACACGGCTCTACTGGAACGCAATTTGGCTTTTAGCGACGGGAAAAAAGAACACAAAGGAAGAAATCTTAACCAATCGCGACCATGCTGTCTCAGGCTCAGACCATGGCCAACAAGCTCTTCTCCCCCAAGAACAAGCTCCGGCTGGGGGGAGCAAAGAAGCGACAACCAAGACTGGAAGCAGAGCAGCAGCAACCAGTCACCATTACGATGACGGCCTCACATCCGCCCAAGGCCATGAGGTAGGGAAATTTCCCTATTACTCGGACATTGTCTAATGGGATGGGATACTGACACGGGGAACAGGCCAAACCGATGCGTGTCCTTCGACATGCTGGAACAATCCCCCTCACGACACTCTCAGCGCCTGGCCTCCCTCGTCCTCAACGCACAGCACCCGGGCTACAAGTCCATGCGACACCACCGGGCCATCATGGTCGCCCTCGACGGCCACGTGCCGCTCCTGGCCGACTCGCCGCTGCACTGGCTGCTCGAGGCCATGGCCGTCGCGGGAGACCACATCATCTGCGTCCACCGGCCCCGGCGGACCAACAAGGGCGAGAACCACGTCTCGGAGACGACCAAGGACGCCCGGGCGCTGTTCGAGGCGACGGTTGCGCTCGTCGCGGCCGTCTGCCCGGACGTGCCCCTCAAGGTGACGCTCGAGTACGGCGTGGGATGTGCAGCCCACAGAATGATACAGAGCTTGGTATGTTTGTCACAATTTACTGGGCCACACCTGTGGTGCATTGCAGGCTGCCATTCCGCAGCTCTGACATGTAATGAATTACTCTTACTAACCAATCATTTCAGATTGGGCTCTACGCCCCGTCAATGCTGGTCATGGGGCCCAGCGAGGGAGAGATCGATACAGGCATCTCCTCCCTCGTCAGCAGCCACGGCAGAGACTCCATCAAGCACAGTCTACAGTACTCCCAGGTACCTGTGATCATCGCCCGCCCTGACGTAGAGCGGGAGGCACACAAGGAGGAGCGGAGGAACGACAGGAGCTACGCGGACATCCTGCAGGAGGCCTGCGGCGGCGTCCACGAGAGCGACTGGAAGGACACGGGAGGCCTCATCCTGTACCCCGAGGAAGTCATACGGTCCCGCGAGAGCAGCGGGTCGGGCGATTACAACTACGACGACCGGCTGCGGAGGGACAGCGAGAGCTACAACGACGAGGGGGACGACAGCGACGACGAGGGCGGCGAGTTCGAGGTCGTGTCCGGCGAGCAGCTGCTGGCCCATCTGGAGCTGGAGGGCGTCACCGCGCGCAGACACAGCATCCCCGGCGGAGCAGATGCGACGGCAGCAGCAGCAGCAGCCGGGAGCAGGCTCCTGTTCCCTCACCAGCAGCAGGAGACCCCGCGGCGCCCGGTCAGCGAGCGCGTCTAGGCGAGTCGCTGCAGGCCTCCCGGGGGAACCAATCAGTCAGCATTATTATGCTTAATTAATAGAACCTTGATATCCTCCCATCTTGTCTGATTCGCCACCGGGGGTTGGTGGTCTGCGCAAAAGAGGGGAAGCTGTGTGAATGATGTGATGTGATAGGCAGTGATGTGCAGGGTCCGCCGTCATCTTGTGACCACCCAACCAAAGCCCACGAGTGTCCTGCTAACTGGGCACTAGGGGGGCAGGCTAGAGGCCTCCTCGGTGACTGAACTGAGGCTGTGTAGAGGACAATGAATCGGCTTCCGCCCGTCCTAGTTGCTGCTGGATGCCTCTCTGGCTCTAGCACCAGATCTAGGGGAGGGTGCGGCTCACGCCGCGGACGCGACTTGATTGCTCGCTAAGTCGAGTCCGACTGCAACGCTATGATGGAAGACGTTAGCATGCCAAGCTGCCCAGGATTCTTGGCGGGTGAGTAGCACGGGGGTCTAGACTCGGGCTGTGAATCGTCATCTGTACGCCCGTCACTGGGGCCTGTTTAACGTAGTTTAACCTGCTCGGGGTCACCTTCGGCTGATCCGTGCTGTCGGTGGGAGTTGGCATCTTATTTCCGGCAAATGATGGTAGTGGCTAGCCAGAGGCCTCAGTCTCGTGTTGCGATGGATGTAGAGTTCAGATGGATTCGTGTCCCATCCAGAGGACCGAGGCCTTGACGATTCACACTAGCCCAGGATGCGAAATTATGTCATCGTCTGACGGATCTCGTTATCAGGGAAACCCAGGCTTCTGCAAGTTGTGATCCTCGCCCACCCCCGCCACGAATCATCCTCCAGCTGGCACTAGGTATTCTGGACCCAACATCGCAACTGAGCTAAGATAGGAGGGTGCGGTCGAGACACTCTTTAATTTGCGGGGTTAGTGCCGATTGTCATTTGTTCATTTCATCTCAACCCCAGGATTTGGAGAAAGCTCGTGCAAAGGGGCATCCTGATCAAGCAAGGTGTATCACTGATCGACGTCCAATTATCCACAACGCAGGGGCATCTTATCTATGCGGTGCGCATATTGCGGTGTGTATTTCGCAGCATTTTTGGTGTTGTGTTGAGTCATGCCAGGTGTGCCAATACATGAAAGATGTCCAAGACAACCCCGTGGACACGCGTCAATCCCGGGATTCGTTTGACATTCCTCACGAAAGAGGTTTGGGATCAAGATTTATTGTGCTCTCTTAGCTAGATTCAATTACTGTACTCCGGTAGCTGAAAGTCAATCATCGCTTCCATAACTGTACTTCCCCGAGATCATATTCCAAAATTGACCACGCCCTGTGAGTGTTTTGCGACTACTAAATCTCCTTCCCATCAAATCCAGTTATGTCGAATTAGATTTGTGAGCTGAATATAGAATCTAAAGACCTTGCGATATGAGAATTCCGTCAGCTAGCCAATTACATAGTAGCTCGGCAGTTCAGGTCTAACGGAAGGCATTTTCATTCTTTCCCCGTTCCAGCGACAAGGGAGGGGTTTAATTTTAGTTTTCAGTGTTGGTCGTATTTTTTGGAAATTAGAAGAACTGGTAGTTTCAGAGTTACAGCGAAGAAATATAGTGACATGTGGGCAAGTCATCCACTCGGGTAACAAATAAACTCAATTTCACTGTACACTTCTCGAGTACTTTGTACTTTTTTCCCCTTATAGGGTCGTGATTGGCTTTCTGATTCTCCCATATCTTTCCATGCCATGTTAGTGACGGCATATACTGTCCAGAATTGTCTTCCATAGCTTAATGATTTGATTGGGCCCCTGCATCAGCCTCAGGAAGGCGAATACCCGAATTTTGTCAGAAGAATGGCCCACTGGTGGCTCAGAGACTTATCCTTTGATTAACAGCACAGCAAGGTCTGAACTTCAATGACAATATAAGTGCAAAAGCAGTCATATCTAATCAGTCCTCAAACCTTCAAAAATCTACTCATGAAAGTGATGTAGTATATTAATTCTTGCAATTCCTATCAAGAAATTTCTGCCAGAATGCTCTACAGACCCAAGCATTTCCCTGTTTTGTTTCATTTCAATATATGGGTCAAGTTATTCAAAGTTATATTGAGCGGAATATTTTGAATCGTGTTGATTGTTTCCACCATTCGGTAAGCCTTGTTGATAGTGTTCAATATCATATCTTAAAGAAGGAAACAGTGGCATCCATTCCCTCCTAGCGGCTTTTAACAATTATTATTCTAATATGGCTATATTCCCCTGAATTTCATGTTGATTGTTCCCGCCATTCGGTAAGCCTTGTTGATTATGTTCAATATGATATCTTGAAGGAGAACAGAACAGTGGCATCTATTCCTACCTAACGACTGTCAATAATTATTGCTCAAAGATGTCTAGTTTTCTTGAAACTAACGCAGCCAGCTTTGTTCGGCAAACTCTTCATGGATTGGAGCAAAATTTACAACTAGATACATCTTGTCTTCTTGCGGTATATGCATGGGTACATATAAAGATAGCCAACATTCTTTGGATTTCTCAAAATGAAATTGAAAACGCAAACTCCAAAAATAAACAAGATCTCGAAAAATATATCCTTTTACGTTCTATATACACTCAAAGAGCCTTTTAACTCAATTGAGAAGTACAGCTGAGCATGCCTCCTGGTCGACGATCAATCTGGGCGTTTTCATACAGTTGAGCCACAAGATATAGGGTAGGTCGGCAGTCGCCGGTGGCGCAGCCCAGTGGCTTGGCAGATGCATGTCATGCGCCACATTCCCACAATGCTATGTCACTGACTCCATTCTGAGAGCCTTCACAAATGCCTTGAGAGTCTAGATTTTATATTTTCAATGACGTAGTCTTTCATTTGCTCATAAATTATTTTAAATTGCGGGAAACTTGAATGTGTTGGTTGCGCATTGCGTAGAGGCGGAAGTCTAGAATTTCAGTGACGTCGTTGTCTCATTTATTGGCTGCAAGTCTAGAAACTGAACACACCTGGAGGATGAGCAACCGAAGCGCAAGGCTTTCAGCATATGCGCTTAGTTACAAGGCGATGCCGCTAGAGTGTGGTTGACAATGCGTTCAATTGCGGGTCAATTCGACTCCTCTATCGCACGTATTCATATTCCATTGGTCCCATCAGCTGCGTCTCAGGCCAGAAACGGTCATAAGAGTAGAAAGACGCAACATCCCCAAGCAGAGGAAGCTACGGTTTACCGCTAAAATAGATGTCAGCAGCTGGTCCCTTGTCCAACATCAATTGCTCAGCCCTAACAGGTTAACAAACCCTGCAAAGAAGATATTTGTTCCATAGGGCTGCAGTCTCTATGAGATTTTAGCTGCAAACATGTCGGTTGCCTGACGTCCGGTGGCTGATTGCATATATTGCCCACAACTCCTCTCAGAATGTCTGTAGTTCCTTTTAGCATCCTTTCTTTTCCTCATGTCTTGTTCTTTTCTTTCAAAGTATGGTTGGGGTTCCCGGAAAATCAAAAGCGTGCATCAATTGTCGCAAGCGTCGATCGCAGGTGAGCCTTCGAGTATATTCTCTATCAACTAGTCAGGTGTGGTGCTAAGTTGGTTTCTTCAAGTGTGATATGAAACGACCCTCATGTGGCCAGTGTCAAAGATCTGGTATTGAATGCTCCGGCTATCGGAAAGAGTTCATCTTCCTGAACAGCACTACACAAGAAGGCCAGGACGGCTCCTTGTCGCTCGAGAAGGAGAGCTATTCGGCGGGAACTAGAACAAGGAACCCAGCAACTGCGGGTTCCGCCGCATCAAGGGCAGCCGCTACAAGTACAACTCCAACTTCAGTCGCTCTCCACGAAAATCTTGAGCGCAGCGCCTATGAGAATAATATCATTGATGAGTTTTGGGCGTCGTATCTCCCTAACGGGCGTGCCCCTTCAGAAGAGGCCATGAAGTACTCCACGTATGGCTGGACCAGCGTGGCACAAAATTTACACACAGAAAGCCCTATAATTCGGGTTTCCCTATTATCCAGTGCCTTGGGAATGATAGGCAGGCAACGAAACGACTCGGAAATCTTCCAACAAAGCCGACAAGCGTATGGAAAGACTCTGTTAGCCGTGGAAAAGTCACTCCGCAACCCTAGCAAGCATGAGGCTCATGTTGTCCTGACCGCGCTCCGACTTGTTAGCTTTTATGAGGTAGGTACCTCTTCACCTTCTCTCTTAAAACCCCCCAGGAACTTAGTAACCAACAGATTCCAGTTGTGGTTTGGGTCAGATGGGGATGGCTCGGCGGCTCAGTATCAGAGACTCATGGCCCACATAAACGGTACCATGGCGTACTTGCTTACCAAAGGCCCCGACACATTCTCAGAAGGCTATGCCCATCAATTATTTTCAGAATTTCGGTTGTCGCAGGTACGCCTGGTCTAACCCCGTCATTGTGGTGTGCCAATGCTAAACTGCTCGGCACAGGTCGTCGCCGGATTACATGCGCACAAGGCTAGCCCACTTGCCAGTCATGAATGGAAAACGATTCCATGGAGCGAAATACCCAAGACTCCCAGAGATACCTTGCTTGATATCATGTTGGAGTTTCCAGGCCTGTTTGAAGAAAGTGACCGCATCAAGGTTATGAGCGATGGTGATGAGCAGCTGGCACATGCTCAGTGGCTACTTAGAGAAAAGTGCTACAGGCTCCACGAAGATTTGCAAGCATGGGCAGGAAGAGATGGAAAAAAGGCTCTGGAACTAGAGCTAGTAAATGGGGAAGAAACCGATACAGCCAGTTCCACTACATCTTCAGAAGAGTTCGCTATGGGCCACCTCCTCATGCTCCACCATGCCTCCCGAATCATTTTGTATGATGCACTGCGCTCTCATACTGGAAGTCACGTGGAAGCTATACCCGGGTATGTTGACCCACGGCTATATTGCCGCAGGATGGGGAATTTTATACCCTTTTTCCTGGTACCCAATGCGGGCTCTGTCTTCCTCGATATGACGATACTCCCCATCACAGTCGCGCTTGAATACTTGAGCAGGAACGAAAAAATTGAGCCATCGACTGAGAAGCTTCTCCTCCTCCGGGCTTTCCAAGGCCATATCGGTACAGCCGCTTCGATGCTGTTAACAAGCTACCAAAAGACACGGAAGCCGGCGGGACGGCCCTTCCTAGAATAGAAGAGAGGATGTTTAAGATTGATCATGGACTTATAGACCATCATTGAACAAGACCCATTTTTAATTTTGCTTGTCATGATTAAGAGAAAAGTTATTTATATACGAGGAACGATGATCAAGTAACGATATAGAAAGGAAAATAATAATTTAGAACGATACACAACTTAAATGAAGCAAATTTAGATTGAAATTACCGCTAAGACTGATCGGATAAGCACCATTAACTAGGCCGATATTTCCTTGTTCCGGGGATATTAGCTTGCCTATGCGGCTGAGTGTAGTGAGAAAGGAGAAAGGAGAAAACGGCAAGCAGAAGAATATGCTTTTAAAGGCTCCTTTTCTCTGCGAAACTCATTTGGGATGAGCTGTGGCCACGTAGGTTTAAAGTATAAAGAGGGATAGATGGGCTGAAGCAAACACGTCTTTAAATGCCTCGACGAGGTGAGAAAAAGCCGCCTCTGTTGCCTGTTTACGCAAATGCGAAGATAAATACTGATGACACACCCCAGGACAGTATGTGAGTGGAATCTTAGGTACGAGGAAGTTTCAGTTATATGTCCTGATAGCTTCGCTGGTTATTATGTCCTTGGGACATATCTTAATGAACTTTCTCACGTTGAATGGGGGAGGGGGTAGTATTAACGAGAAACACGACTGGAGAGTCTTACTTCCAACAAGTAGGACACAGATGGTGTTGAACAGTTTGGCAAGTTCACAGAGCAGACTGCGTTGCATAATATGTATTTATCATTTGACTTCGTTAACATCTAAAAATCTGCCATTGTCATCTATCCCCAGACATCCTCAAGTAGAGTGTTAAATTTCCTCAAATCTTTGACCCATTTCAAAGACTCCTCGCGACTGCAGCCAGTCCTGCGGCTTCTCATCTGAGCGAGGCTGTCTACAACACCCCTTGCCATAGTGGCGGAACCGCAGATGTAGAAACGGCATCCACTGCTTTCCATGAGATCCATCACCTCGGTCTCCTGTTGCTCAAGGAGATTTTGGACGTACACCTTCTTTCCCTTGGTGTCTCGGCTAAACGCGGTATGGTAGCTGAAGATATCAGAGCCAAGACTCCTCTGCCACTCAGCCCAGTCATCTTTGTAGATGTAGTCATTGGCAGAGTTGCGGAAACCCATGAGGAGCAGCGACTTGCCGACTTCTTGACCAAACTCCTTTCTCTGCACACGCTCCTGTACAAAAGCCCTAAATGGAGCAACGCCAGTACCTGCTCCGACCATAATGATCGGAGCGGAGCCCTTGAGTGGAAGCTTAAACGTGCTCTGAATCGTGTTGGAGAATACTTTGCCACCGGCTAGGATTCCACGAGGCCCATCCACGGCGTAGTTAGCAAGGCCAGATGGCGATGCTGACTTGTTAACAGATCGTTCCACGGCCCAGAGGTAGCCGGTCGCCAATCCTTCACAAGTGTTTGTGGGCGTCTTGCCAGGCTTAGGCTTAGTTACCACGACGGTGATTGAAGCCACGCGTGGCTGAACCACAGCCGAGGACGAAATCGAGTAGTATCTGGGCTGCATTGGCTTGAGGCGTTCCATGAGGAACGACACAGGGATGGCCCAGGTGGATGTGGGGTCCAGTTGTTTTAGGAGTCCTCCGAGGGTCAGCTGCGCCGCAAGAATGCTGCTCTTGAACTCTTCAGCATCGGTGCCGATACGATTTAGTACACTTCGAACCTCCTCGGAAGGCGCAAATTCTGCGATGGCGTGGACGAGATCCATGGACAGCTTGCCGCTGATCTCGAGATAGTTGCGGAAGAGGGCCTCGAAGGTAGTTGGCGTAGGAAAAGGAATCTTGCCATAGCCACCTTCCTGGATCTCGCTAATAGTAATTGGGACATTCTTCTTTGATGAGAGTCCCAGGCTCTGAAGCAGCTGATCAACCTCGTGGTCGGGGTTGGAAGCCCAGACAGCCAAATGATCACCGGTCTTGTACTTGAGTTCACGGTTGGATCCGAGATCGAGGTCGACATGGAGACACAGCCTCTCGCTGTCTTCCCATAGTTTGTACACCTCTTTTACGGTTGCAGCTGTGTTGAGGGGCGTGACGGCGCCTTGCTTTGAAGAGGTGTGGGCGACGGGCTCACCAACATGAATGCCGTCCGTCGAGAGATCAGGCTGTTCCTCGATTTTAAAAGATGGGTGGTAAACCACTTTTTGCTCTTTCCACCCCAGAATTCGCTGCAGCTCAGACTGTACTTTTTGCCTCCATAGGAGAAAGTCGTTCTCAGTATCTCCCTGAGCATCATCGCCGGCACCTAGGCTACCAAAGCGAGAAGCACCGTGCTTCTGCAAAAGACCATCAATGGTGATGGCAACTTGGTTGAACAACCGATAGTTGGAATTTCCCAGCCCGAACATGACATAGCGGAGCTTAGAGAGGCTTGCGGTGGATTTCTCTTTATGGAGAACTGTCCACAGACCATTGGCACCATCAGGAGGGTCTCCATCGCCATATGTCGAGACGATGAATGCACAGAGATGATTCTCCGTCAGCTGGGAGAGATGAGCATGATCAAAGTCGTCTAGGTCTGCAGCAAGAGTCCGCAGACCGAAGCGGTCCTGGAGACTCTTCGCAAACTGCCTCGCAATGATTTCGGCTCTACCGCTCTGACTACCCCAGAATACGAGAAAGTCAAGTTTCTATACGACAATCAATTATATTAGCTTTTGATGTCAAATCAGACACCGATGGAAGTAAGCTATACCTGCTGTTCAAATACATAGGCGGCTCGCCTCTCATCCTCCTTTTGCTGTCTTGATGAAGTGCGGTCACCATTTGCCTGTGGTACAGAGTTAAGCCAGGAATGTGGTGGGTGAATTGATTCCCGGAAGAATTGGATCCAGTAGTTGTACGTGAATAAAACGGTGACAATAAAGACAACAATGGCATCATCGAATCGTGCCTCTAGAGGGGGCAGCGAGTCAAGAGAGGGAGTAGCAGGGAGGGCAAAAGGAAAGGTGAACGTGTCAGACATGATGGGCAGATTGTGCTCGCAATTGTGCTGTCTGGGTGAAATTTACTACAAGAGGCATTGTCTCATGGTCCGGGCCATTTGGTCATTTATGAAGAAACAGGCGAGAAAGCTTGTGACAAAGAGAGAACAGGGGCTTTGGCAAGACTAGACGCCACATCAGACCGGCCATCGGATCTAGTTGGAGGGGGTGGAGAATGGCAAGATCGGAATATTACCCAAAGCAGAAGAGACGTTGCATCTAATATCGCTCAAGGGGTTGAGAATAGCACGAGCACGACCCCGTGCTCGAAATCTTGCAGTCCGATCCGGGGAGGCGCATGAGAGAAGATGGGGGTGTGCGGGGGAACACGAACTGACAACGGACCAGAACTTCCCAATCAAGACGATCGATGCTTCGACCCGGCGAGAACTTTCCCTCGAAGTCTGGAGCCCCAAACTAGGAGGAGGGTATCGTCATTTGCCCCCACCTCCAATAGTTCTATTCCGTATCGCCTATGAGGGATGGACGGTTGTCAGCTGGGATCGGTGGAAATTTCCCGATCTAGACACTCCGTTCCGGCTCTCCACAACTCTGATCAAAGGTAAAGATTTGCTCGGCATCTCCATCGTGAGGGTGCTAGGCAATCTCGGGCCTAGTCTTCTCCAACATGGAGGCCACCATCGCCAAGGGACGGGGAAGCATTGCCCTTCTTGAGCAAGAAAGGAAATATCTCGCGATAACTACTTTTCCTAATCAACCCTTGCACGCAACTCTCCCCACGATGTCGGGAGAGATTGGGTTCTAGTGCATATCACGCTCTGTGGGCCATCCAAAATGCTGCTGATGGCATTTCTGGAGAAACCCAAGAAGGCATTATTGCACCGCATGATTCAGACTTAAAAGTCACCGTTCTTACTCTCCAGCTTCTCCAGATTCTCCCAAACTAGACCGCAAGGTTTCTCTGTTCTTCCCCCAGTTGCTTCTGCCCACGTTGGCCTTTCTCTATCATGTTGGCATTGATTTCTGTCATTGGACTGCTCGCCCTAGGGCTTTTCTCCTTAGTGTTGCAACATGTCTATGTCTACCTTCGAGATGCAAAGGGTCTTCGCAAGTTCCCTGGCATGACCCCCCTTGCACCCTTCACCAACATCCCCTATCTCCGAGTCAGCGGCCAGGGCCGTAGATTCAAAGCTGTATACGAAGCCCATCAAAAACTCGGCCCCGTTGTCCGTGTTGGGCCCAACTCCGTGTCCTTCAGCGATCCTGTTGCCATCAAGGATATCTACGGTCACGGTTCTCCCGTCACTAAAGATATCTTTTATGACAACGTCGCAGGATCCCACCGCCACCTTGCCGATGTATCCGACAAGCATGACCACTCTCGGAAGCGCCGTGTTCTCGCTGCTGCCTATTCACAAGCAGGCCTGGAGAGCTGGGAACACATTGTGTTTTCTAGGACTCGTGCGCTAGTCGATCAATACGACAAGGCGTGCATTAGCCCAGAATATCACTCGTCCCCTCATGCGATCCCATCGACGAGCGATCCCAACAAGACCAAGGGTTGTATCAACCACCGACAGTGGATGAATATCTTCGCTCAAGACGCCATCTGCCAGATTGGAATGAGTGCAGACCTCCACATGCTGGAAAAAGGAACCGACACTGTCACTATCGAAACTCATAATGGAAAAAAGATCACTGTTGGGTACCGTGCATCCCTTTGGGGAGGACACAAGATCCAAAGAAACTTCGCCTGGTCCCACGACTGGTATAAGAGGATGGCCAAGTTGACTTCCTGGCACCCTGGTTGGGCACACAACAAGAACTATGATGCCATGGTCTATTATTTCACTCGTAAGCGCCTCGAGAGATATAATAAGGGTGAAAAACTCGACGACTTCTTCACCTATTTATTTGAAGACAAATACGGAAACCCCAACATGTACCCCATGGGTGAGCTGGCTGCCGAGGCTAGCATCATGATGAACGCTGGTTCTGATACCACCGCCATTGCCCTCACCAATGTCCTCTACTGGCTTTTAAAGAACCCAGATGCACTCGCTAAACTACGCGAGGAGCTCGACGCAGTTCTTGACCCCGATGAGCCCGTTGCTCCATTCGACCGCGTCAAGCATCTTCCCTACCTCCGCGCCTGTCTCGACGAGAGCATGCGCCTCACTCCCCCCAACACAATGAACATTCCTCGTATCACACCTGCCCAAGGTCTATCAGTAATGGGATACTGGATTCCAGGCAGGACCACCGTTCACTGTTCCACCTACACCATACATCGCAACCCCAAGATCTTTGTCGAGCCTCTGGCCTACAAGCCCGAGCGCTGGCTAGGCGAGGAGGGTAAGGATCTCCAGCAACACTTCTTGACCTTTAGTGCTGGCGCAAGAGGTTGTATTGGACGAAACATTACTTATATGGAGCAGACGATCGTGTTGGCTAGTCTGATTTTCCGATTTGACTTTTCGCTGATGTCTGACGATTGGGTTCTCGAGCAGGAGGAGAGCTTTACGTGCTCCCCCAGTGACTTCCCAATTAGAGTACGCAGGAGAGATTTTGAGAACCTCAAGGCTTAAAAGATTGATGATATGATAAATAATGAAGGGTGTTGGGATGGTATTATATCTGGGAAGGCAGTTAAAGCACTATTATGATCAAATGTTTCTTCAATACACTTGTGAAAATCCATTGATGTGACATAAGCCCTTTTAATTCCATGCCGCTCAACTCCGTCATGCTTAGTAGATGATTTAAACAAGAGGGAATTGGACAAAACATTGGGGGCGGGACCGCTTCATAGCGTGCTTCAGCATCATGACAAACCAAGCATCGCTATTATTGTTGCTTTCCTTTCTCACTTGATGGCTTGGTGGATTATAACATAACCTGAGTCAGTAGCGACCCGGGGTGAGCTAGGCGGATCCAATCTGAAAGATCGACTTACCACTTCCGCTCCGTGATAGCTCACAAGAAATCCCCACCCCCAGATATAATGAAACATGGATCGATCATCTTAGCAAAGACTTAAAACCTCAAAACGGTCACCCAACATAGAAACACCAATACCACATTCTTAGAACAGAACACTCACTCAGCTTCGGTAACTTCCATATTGGTAACCCACCGAACCGGCAAAGGTTGCCGAGATGCATTTACCATACTTATCAAGACAGTGTTCAGCAACCTCACTTCGCTAATTTTCAGATATATTAAAATGTTCAAGGATAACTTGTTCATAACGGAACTTTGTCAACAAGACTGCATCCTTCGCAAGTTACCTCCTGCTATATAAGAACACTCATGGCACGCTCACGCTGAATCCAACATGCTCTTTAACTTTCAACCATTTCTCCTCACGCGTCAGCCCCCCAAAGATCAGATCAAGCTCGGTTCTATCCCCTGTCTCAAAATGAAGCCTGCAGTCATCCTATCCCTCTTCGCCACTGCTGCCCTGGCTGCGGATGAGGCCTGCTCAAGGACGAACAAGGAAAACAACAACGTGTATTATTACTTTTACAAGGCCACCCCCGGTCAGCCTACAGGTTACCAGTGGTGCTACGGCTTTTATGACAAACTTGTGGCCTATTGTACCATTTCGTCAAAGGGTTGCTCGACCTTTGCCGGCTCGTTGCCATCTAGTAGTCACTCGAGCTCGAGCTGGACATTCCTCGTGCCCAACACGTGCACGAATGAGAATGTGGAGACTGCATGGCAGGAGTTCACCTCGGGCGAGTTTGGCAGTTCCAACTGCGCTTAAGCGATGCGGGATGTATCTTCCCGATATTGTTATAGAAACATGAACTTTTTTAGCAAAAAGTGATATCACTTTACCTTGTAATACTGAAGGATCACATGCTTTAGAGTGGCGTTGAGTATCTTTGTGATTTAAGAGCACTATGTGATACTTTTTGTTGGTTGCAACAATTTTTTTTTTTTTTAGTTTTTTTCATAAGGCGGAAAATTTGGCTCCTACCTGCAAATCAAAAATACCTAATCTCGTGCAAATTATTTTTTTGGATCGAGTATCAGGAGTCAGATAATATCGTAGTGCTGGTAGCTGATGAACCAATGTTTGAATAAGGTAGGAGCGAATATATGCATGTCGATACACAAATTTGGTTTGCTAAGACATGACTAACACCTCTAGAGACTACTATAATGTGACACCCATTTAAATTAATTAAATAGTAAATTTTCGATTTTCTGTGAAATTGTCTGATAATAACCAAAGGATAGTGATCTAGGACTCGCGTATTGAGAGTCGAGATATAGGGTAGGCAGGCATGAAATACCCGAAATATTCCCGTCAGACCAGCGGTCAACAATCAGGCGAGAAGCCACTTTCAGGGATCAGATGGACCAATGCGCCGCCGTTTCATTATTAATATCGAGCCTAGCGCGGTTGAAGCTGCCGGGAAAATGTAAATCCTGGCGTCATCTTGCCAATTGAACTGAATTGGCCACCAATTGCTGATATTCCTCAACAGGGATCAAACACAAGCCTCTACGACGCAATATCAGATCATCCCACCCCTCCCTCGGCATCCGGAACGACGCGCCTTCAAGATGTCCCTCTCAGCGTATGTCGCTGCGTTCAAGAACACGCCGCACGCGCTGTACCCGCTCGGCGCAGGGCTCCTAATTACCTCGTCCATGCTTTTCGGCAACATTGGCCTCTCGCTCGCCGGCCCGCTGCCAATCATCACGGAGAAGCTCGGAGACAGCACGCTGGGCACCAAGCAGAAGATCCGAGTCTGGCGCCTCTTCTACGACGCCGCTACTGTAAGTTCCATCAATTCCGTTCCTTTGGTTTTTGGGTGGGCGCCGAGCTCACCATCTTACCTACCGGACAGCCTTTCATCGTGGGCGGAACCTTGGCGACCGTGGCCCTGCACGGGGGCGCGGTGTATCTGACCAAGAATGTCACTGTCAAGCAATTGGCCACCGCGTCTGCCGTGTTGAGCGGCGTCGTGTTGCCTTATACTCTGGCACTCATTATGCCAGTCAACAAGGCCCTGATCTACCTCGATGAGAAGGATATCTCCAAGTCCGAGTCAAGGCAGGCCAGAGCGCTCATCAAGCAGTGGGATTTCCTTCACAAGTTCCGCTTCATCTTTTACGGTACTGGCTGGCTGCTCAGCGTTGCCGCAATTGGCGTCGGCCTGCACAAGAGAGTCGATGCCAAGGGCCTGGTCAGTTGGTTTTCTTAAGAGGAGGCTACCATTATGATATAGATGGGTAGGGCTGCTGTTGAACAGCGCTGAGAAAGATCCAATGCTGTGTAGCTGTGATCTTGCCCAATGCGAGATGAAAAAATTGATGATGGCTGTATAGAGCCGGTTGGGCCATTGAACTGGGGAGGTTCGTTCACGCATAAGTACTACCGATAGTATAGTGAATCATATGGTCATTTTTCTTTCGAATTCCTACGCGTCAATTGTCGATATAAATTGATCAATTGACGGCATTAGTCAATCAACAGAGGGCATGAAGTGTGAAGCCAAGGGACCTGGCTCTTTTATGATGTCATCGAGGTGATCCATTCAAAGTCATGGGCGTATTCTAGACAACGGCAAGGGTAAGGCCACTAACTCACTTTGATAACCTCCTAGCTAAGATATCCTGTGGATCTGGCGTTACGTGTAATGCGGTACACTGAAATAATGAGTATGCAACTGGTGTAGCTCTACGCGCTCTCAGAGATTCCAATTCACTTGATTAAAAAAACGTTCTTGTTTTCTTGGGCGCGTGCGACGATGGAGCTCTAAACACCATTAGCACTGGATGTGGTAAAACACCAGTCTCTATCTGTAGCCTTCGCGATTTTACGTACTGTAAAGGCAATATTTGGCATGACTTGTTCTTCTTCACTTGAATATTTGTGCAATGCCCAAGGCCGTGACAATAACAAAACCTTCCTGCTGATGCCGCTGCGCCTGTGGGTTGTGAGGTAATGGAGCTGTTATGAAGTAAATTTATGCCTATTGAGGAACAATGAGACTAGAAAAACTTAGAAAAGCTCAATACGAGCACTGAAATTCTCACATTGCGGAATGTCCCAAGTCATTAGGGACTGTGGATAGACTCGGGTTGGGAACACACAACTCCAGAGCCCATAACGATTCACTTTTTCCCATCAAATTAAGTTCTTTACATTCTTCACAACTTTCATATAACGGATGACAACTATCTGGAAAATTCTTCCTTTTCCTTCTAATCGCTTGTTTGGATGTTTTTGACTAACTGCCCTGAGCCGAGACAGTAATCTAAGGAATCTCCATAGCCTCTGTTCCACCTTCAATTCAACGACGCGAGCCATACTCTACTCAGGCAACTTCCGGTGCCAGTGGAAATAAATTCAGCCGGCAGAGGGGGTTATAGCCTTTCGTATGATAACAAATATCCACCCTTCGTCCTCCCCGTCACTGCCTGAAACACCATCCCCACTTGCACCACCAGTGTTTCCGGTGTTCCTCTCAACTTCCAATCCTGGTCGACGGGGGCATAATTTCACTCCGGAAAAAGGACTGAAACTGGCTAGATGCCATAGCCCCCCTCCAATAGGCGCTTCTGGATTACGTCCCTCTGTGCCGGGTCCGTCAAGAGCATGTCGCCTAGGTGCCGCAGATTTGAAGATTTGATCATGCTTGCGCAGCCCATGCTCTATCCCCTTGCAACGGATCCGCTCTTCCCAAGCTCCTTTCCAGTGGGGTGTTTTGCATTTCGAATGAGTCTCGGCCATGGTAAGTGAAACGGTCGGTAAGCGAGTCTTCTTATAAGGACCCAATGCCTCATCCTCTGCCTCGGAATTTGCTCACCATCTTTCCTTGGATTTGGTAGGGAATTTCTTTTGGAGGATTCCAATCGTTTCGTTCTTTTTTTCGCGACAGGTTTCGCAGTTACTTTGTGGCCAGCACTGTGTGTTGCTCATCAACTACATTCTTTCACATATCTTGAAGATATTACACTCCCTTGTTTGGAACCTACCACACCCTCTCTGAAATTCACTTATCTTTCATTATGAAAGCCTCAACATTTTTTTCGGGCTTGATTGCCCTCGTAGCCCCGGTTATGGCACAGAGCACTACATCCTATGTCGATCCCAAAACCTCGATCACTTTCCAACAGTTCAGCGACTCCAAAACTGGCTACACATTTGGAATTGCGCTTCCCAAAAATCCCACTACTGATTTCATCGGTCAAATTTCTGCTCCAATCACGGAAGGATATGCCGCGGCATCCATGAGCTCGTCCATGGCCAACTCGTATCTGATCGTGGCTTTCCCATCTGGCGAGTCTGTTTCTGCCTCTATCCGGTTGGCCACTGGTTACACCAACCCAAGTGTCATCACCGATGCTGGTATCCAGTTGAAAGAGATTCCCTCGGGAACGTTTGTCAACGCAACGAGCTTCACCTACACCTTCCTTTGCTCGGGCTGCATCTCCGGCGACAAGGCTTTCGACCCAACCACTGAGACTGGTGTCATGGGCTGGGCCCTCAGCACCACCGCACTCACTGATACTTCATCCGCCTCCGCGACACTGAACTACCACGGTGCTGGATTTGGCGGCTTCGGCGTTAAGCTGACCGAAGCTCAGTCCGCAGACTACGATACCTGGGCGAAACTGGCGACTGGCACGACCCCCACGAATCCCGGTGGTGACACCCCAACGAACCCAGGCAACTTCACCACGGTCATCTCCAACGTGACATACGATTACATTGTCTCCGGTGCAGGCGCCGCTGGAATCATCGCCGCCGAGCGTCTCGCCGAGTCGGGCGCCTCTGTTCTTCTGTTGGAAAGAGGCAAGGAGTCGCTGTACTCGAGCGGTGGACGCTCCGTGATGGATTGGAACGAAACCGCCACGCAGTACGATGTCCCCTCGATGGCGTACTACCTCAGCACTGCCGCCGACACCACCGAGTATTGCACAGACACAGCCAGCCAGGCGGGATGTATTCTTGGCGGAGGCACCGTCGTCAACGCCATGATGTTCGTCCGCCCCAGGGCTGCCGACTTCGACGACAAGTGGCCATCAGGATGGAAATGGGCCGATGGTGTCGAGACTGCAGCTGGAAGGTTGTATGAGCATACACCGGGCACCATCATGGCAAGCAAGGACGGTCAAAGATACGACCAGGGCGCCTGGGACGTGCTTTCCAAGTGGCTTTCGGGCATCGGCTTCTCAGAGGTGAACACGCTTGAGGAGCCGGAGAAGAAGCACGCCGTCTACAGCAGGCCCCCATGGATGATCAACAACGGTCTTCGTGCCGGTCCCGTTCGCGACTATCTGCCCCTCGCAAAGGCTCTGCCAAACTTCACGCTGCAACTGAACAGCAAGATGCTTCGCGTCATTCGCAACGGGACTGCCGCTACTGGTGTCGAGGTTGAAACCAGCACCACAACCCGACAGATCATCAACCTCAAGGCTGGAGGTGCCGTCGTGCTTGCATCTGGCTCACTTTCCACCCCGCGCATTCTGTTCAACAGCGGCATTGGCCCAGCAGCGCAGATTCAAACTGTGTCCAACGGCACAACCAAGATCACCCTGCCACCTCAGGCAGACTGGATCGAGCTGCCCGTCGGTCAGAACCTGCAGGACCACCCCATCTACACCGTCTCCTTCAAGACGAAGCAGCCCCTACAGGCTCTCAACTCTTCTTCTTTCACCAGCCCCAGCCAGACCGACGTTGATCTGTTCGCTCAGGGCTCCGGTCTCCTCGCCCAGTCTGGCCAGCGCCTCAACTTCTGGACCACGGTCGAGGGCTCGGACGGCATCACGCGCTCCATCCAAGGAACGTGCAACTCGCCCTCCGCCGACACCGTCCGCATGAAGATCTACCTGACCCACGGCCTCACGTCCAAAGGCAGCCTGGCCATCACCAGCTCCGGCGCCACCACATTCTCCAAGGACCCGTACCTCAACACGGCGGAGGACCGCGAGGCCGTGCTGGGATTCATGCAGCAGCTGATCGACTACTCGGGCAAGGCCAACAGCACCATCAGCCTGGCCTCCAACGTCACCGCCGAGAGCTTGATCAAGGATCTGTCTCCCGGAGCTCATTTCATTGGCACTGCCAGGATGGGAGCCTCAAACGACGGCGAGAGCGTGGTGGACACCGACACCAAGGTCTGGGGCATGGACAACCTGTTTGTTGTGGACGCTAGCATGCATCCCGACCTGCCGACCGGTAACACGCAGGCCATTGTCATGGTTGCTGCCGAGTATGCTGTCGAGAAGATCCTCGCCAGTGAGAAGGGAACTGGAAATGGCACGGGCAATGGTAATGGAAGTACCCCAACCACAACTCCAACGCCCGTCACGACGACAGCTTCAGCTACCACGCCGACTGCCACCACTACTTCAACCGCTCGTCCTTCTTGCAAGAACAAGAGGCGGGTGAAGAGGAGGGCTCTGAAGTGGAGTGAGATTGATGGGCTGAAGATTTGATGAGCCTCTTTGTCGAAGGAGTGATGAAAACGCTGCTTTGGTTGACACGCACGATTGGTCTGTAAGAGTAGCTAGATAGTTTGGGACCTGTTCTGGAAAGGGAGTCATGATGATAGAGAATAAACATTGCATTAAAGCCAAATGACTGATCGTTTTATGACTTAATGTGAAAAGAGGTGAGCCTTGCGAATACGAGTACGTACAACATGACAACACATGGATATGACAGACAGATATTCCAGTCAAGAACACCTGCGACCTTCCTTGCCCAATTCAGGGGATTCTCGGGCATTTTCCTTCGGGCATTTTCCATGTTTATGATTGATTAATCTCCGTTGACTGGTTTTGGGTAAAAATTTTAATCGCCGAGCGCGATATCCGGGTTCTAGATTTGAACAACGAGTGGCCCCTCCACCAGAACTTCCCCGCTCGAATGCAATGTCATGTTAATGGCGACGCTTGTTTGGCTCGGCTCAATGGATGTGGGTTCCTGGCGATTGTTGGGCTCTTCTCCGCAAGCTGAGGGTTCTTTTCCCCCGCTGCCCGAAACAGCGATGAGCAGCAAATGAGAGAACAGCAACGAAGCAGTTTTGTCAGACACGGTGGGCTCTTCCCCCTCTTTTGCTGGGCGATGGAAGCGACGTCACCAGCCACAGGCGAGTATAAATAGTCCTTCTCGCGCAAGAGAACCCTTGCCATCGCACCATCACAACCATCAAGGTTCCCAGACCACTCTTATCCGCCTTCTCCCACCAATAGATTCAGCAACTTATCGCGTCATGGCGGCAACCAAGGGCAGCTGCATGTGTGGGGAGATCGAGTACCAGTTCACCGGTAAGGGCTGCCGCCAGAGATCTGCTCGCTGACATGGACGGGAATTAACTGTATCGGGAATCCAGGGGAACCCGCTGTCACAGCTCTGTGCCACTGCATTGACTGCCAGAAGGTGAAAGGCTATTATATGTCTTCTCTCATCCGATCTTGCTAACACAAGTGCTTCTCATATCTAGTGGACTGGAGGCGCCTTCACTTCCAACGCTGTTGTACCCCGCACAGCTTTCCAGGTGACCAAGGGTACGTTCTTACGGGCCTGATTCTTCAATCGTCCTCGTTATAGAGCTCCATGAAGATCATCCAGACGCTGACCAATGCTCCCTGGCAATATAGGCACGCCCAAGACTTTCGATGCCATCGGAGCCTCGGGCAAGGTGAACAAGCACTTTTTCTGCTCCAACTGCGGCTCGAGCCTGTACACTGAGCTCGAGGTCATGCCAGACGTGACCTGCGTCAAGGCGGGCGGTTTGGATGGAGGTGCAGCCAGCCTCGGCAACAAGATCGGTGTCGAATTCTACACCAAGGACCGGGTGGCATACCTGGGCGGCTGTGACGGAGCCAAGCAAGAGCCTGTCTTTGGTTAGTTTAATGTAGGCACCTCTACAAGGTACCCTTGATATACGAGAACTACAATATAAAGATAAAGAATTATGACAAGGCCGTAGGCCGTGCTGATTTTGTTGTGATATGAGCTCTGTGAAGAGTCGGGATGTAAGTGCACGACCCTTCGTATTTACTTGGCTACTTCCCAATGCTAGTTCTTCCTAGAATAATGTAACGGCCTCTATGGAGGTCTGGGTAAGTCGCGCTCACCTTTACGCAGGTAGGAGAATGTAAGAATATCTCATGCATGTTGCCGTTGCAGTGATTCAATCCATGTCAACCGACCTCAAAAGTTCCGCTGTAAAGTTAAGATCCTAACATACCAGGTACCTATTGCTAATATTTTCAGTATAAGATAAAAATAAAAACGCTTGGAACATAAATGAAGCACTCTTTTTGGGGACTTCCTGACATCTGTCATATCGCTCCTTAGTATGGAAAGTCAAACGCTGAGCTAGCCCTCTTCACAAACGGCTAACATTGGTTATTTGCTCTGGAATCTGGAAGCTTTTGCCAAGAATGCAGTTTCTCGGCCATTTGGAAGCAGCGAAATGCTAGTAGGCGGCCTCCCCAGTGTTACTTTTGACCAGAAACGACTCTTCATGGTGCTGTGGTACAACATTGGCCTCTCCTCGACGCTTAAAATATCCTTCAATTTGGAAACGCCTCTTTGATGTATTGGATTTCCAAAGGTCCTTAGACATAACTTGAACGTGGAAAATAGGAATCAGCGTTGGTTATTCTATGAACAACTGTTATGCATGGCGATCCAAAGGGCTTGATTTCTGGTCTAGACTAGAAGTAACACTCTCACTTTCTGGTCAAAGAGATCATTTCGCCGATAATCTGAAAGCTTTCCTGAAAGTGACTGGTAGGGCGTTACATTGCAGGATTAATTTACGCCCCCGGTCTAACCCGTCGTTGCGCAAAGACTTACCGTGGAGTGTTCCTGGCCCAGCTCGCCATGTTCCGTCAATTCCTTAAGCCTTTTGGCTGGAACTTATGGCCGGCCACGCCGACCGCAATGTGTCCGAGACTAGGCCGGCGGCCTAGATGTCGGGTTCACCATTTGTGCCTGAGATCTTTTGGCCGCTGACGTTAGTTGGAATGCTAGACGCCATGTTTCGTAAGGCGACACGTTGTTTGGCCGGCTATAGCTAGAAAGCTTATTTCAGAACACCAGTCTATGGAGTCGAGATCAGGCTCTTGTGTGTAAAGGCAACTCGCAAACATCTATATATTCGTTGCTACTTCCTTTACCAAGTGTACCTCTTTTCTCTATCAAGTCCTCCATTTATCAAAACACAAACGAATCAACTCCTCCAAAATGCAACTTACTTCATCCACTTCCCAAGCCCTGCTGCTTGCACTTGCATGCGTGGAAATTGCCTCCGCAAAAGTCTACAACTGCCCTGGTGCTCTCAATGTCAATGTGGTCGACGACAAGACTATGGGCTCTTGCTGCATCGGCTCTAACGATGACTCCTGCGACGTGACCATTCCAGTCACTGCCACCAACTACGATGCTCTTGTTTCGAGCGCTAGCTCCAAGTATCTAAACAATATCAACACCAGTAACGGGGGTAATGGGGGTAATGGGGGCAATGGAGGGAGTGATGTCAACATCAGCAACGGAGGCAATGGGGGAAGCGGTATCTACATCAGCAACGGCGGTAGCGGCGGCGCTCCTGGAGCTCCTGGAGCCCCAGCATCAACATCAGCAACTACCACAAGCAAATCGAGCCAGACCACTACTACTCTCTCGTCTCAGAGTACCAATACCGCCAGCTCATCTGGCTCCTCCGCCAAGCCCGCTGCGGCTTCAACGGCCGCATTTACCACTGTCACTTCATCGGCCGGATCTACTGTTACTGTCACTTCTTCGACTAAGACTGGCGGTGCTGGAAAGCTGGACATGGGATACGCCATGGGTGCCCTTGCTTTTCTGGCTGGAGTTGCGCTCCTTTAATGCCCGAGATGGATAGGCCTTCGGGTTTCGCATATGTTTCTGCAGTAGAATAGCGGTATTTCCTACCTTCCTTTGCTTTTCGTTTCCTACATATGTATCTTTCTCAATTTTCAACTTGTTCCTTATGCATGTCCTACAGCATTCCTTGAACATTTCCTATGTTTGTATCGTATTACTCCCTCAGTTCATTTCATATCTGTTTACTATCCATGCTTACTGTTTATTTCGTATACTTATTTATTTCTTGTTTCCTACATTTCCTACATTCCTTATTGCTCGTTTTCTATATTCGTTTCTGTCATCACAAGAATTATTTCAACTTAGGTAGCATCAAGATTAACACATAGAAATTAAACAAGTTACATGATGTGTGCCTTGAACAGAGCCCGCGCCATAGTCGGAGAAACCACATTTATCTTCCACGGGGAGTGGTGAATTCGCTTCTCCATGATTTTAGAAGAGTGTCCGCGGTGAATGTAAACCGATTTTAATGAAACTACACACTCAGTTAGATTGCGCGTTCCGCCCCGCTTATATTGGAGGATTTGGGTTGACGTCAGAAAACGTCTCTTAGCTATATTTCTTACGGCCGAGAGCAAGGACCGTCTATGTCCGCTTCTTCCAGCTCCAACATGCCACCGATGGAGAGACCTCGCCAGCGCCGAAGACCAGCATTCTCGTGCCTGGAATGCAGGCGGCGAAAGATCAAGTGCGATCGGAAAAATCCGTGCTCGCATTGCGTCTCCGTCGCGATCCAGTGCGTGCACAAGGTCTTTCGGGATGCGCCCGAGACCTCCGTCCAAAGCAGTACACAGGGCCGAACAACAGTCTCCTCACCAGTCAGTACCCCATCCTCTCGTGCCCAGAGCGGACAATCTCGCACCGATGCAACCGCAAACGAAACGGGCAGCGTGGCATCTAGGCCTCTCATCGCTAGAGCCGATATATCACCGTCCACACCAGCACCAACACTCGCGGGCCAACCTGAAGTCGCCACCAGTCAGATAGTATCAACAACCCGTGATGAAGATGAGCAACCAAGTGTACATGCCCTTCTACGACGCATACAGCATCTCGAGAACTCTCTAGCAACGAGTGCTGTACCTGCGCACTCTGAGCCTGGAGGGGAATTGACTGATCGCCAACCGGTGCATCAAGATACACGTGTCAGCCTCTACAAGACAAGGATCTCGAAATGGAGTTACTGGGTGGGCATGGTCGATGAGGTATGGCCTGCAGCTACGTTCGTCTACTACTATACACTGACTTTTACTCCAGTTTGACCTTATCAAGGCTTGCTATTCCGCGGCAGGCGGCGGCCTCCTTGCCAGCTACGGTGAAGCAGATGACGAGGACAAGCTGAACTCCTTCCACAGGTCTGAGATTGAACCTCTTCTTGAAGAGACTGGGGCTCTCACGAGGAAGTGTAAAGTGTTCGCAAAAAGTCTCAAGACCGGGCGACCAAGCAAGTCTCTCGGGGGAGCTGGCTTTGATCTTCGCCCGCCCTCCCACGACCTGGCTGACACCATGGTCGATCTCTATTGTACCTCTTTCGAGTCGGTGTATCGGATAATCCATATACCCTCATTCCGTCTTGAGTACCAGCAATACTGGGAGAACCCAGAGAGTACTACGGCCAGTCAGTGTCTCAAAATTCTCTTGGTAATCAGCATAGGCTCAAGCCTTCACGACCATGGGAAGGATCTACGGCCAAAAGTACAGCAGTGGGTTCACGCTTCTCAGGCATGGCTTGCCGGCCCGCTGGAAAAGAATCGCCTGGACGTTGGGGGGCTCCAAGTCTACTGCTTGGTGATTCTTGCACGGCAGATCTTCTCAATTGGCGGCGACCTAGTTTGGGTGACGATGGGGTCGGTAATTCGTATGGCCATGCAAATAGGGCTTCATCACGATCCCAAACACTTGCCAGACATGTCGTTGCTACAGGCTGAAGTCCGAAGGCGGTTGTGGGCTACGGTGCTCGAGATGGCAATACAGTCGTCACTAGATTCGGCGATGCCGCCCATCATCTCCTTGGACCAGTTTGATACCGAAGCACCTTCCAACTACAACGACGATGAGCTTGATGATTCAACTATCGAGCTGGCCCCCCATCCTAGAAGCACCTACACTACTTCCTCAATACAGCTTATCCTTCTCGACTCGATACCGACACGCCTACGCATCATACAGCTACTCGGCGGCCTTAAACCAGAACTATCTTATCAGGATGTGCTTTCACTGAGTTCGGAGGTGACTGAATCATATTGCGCCTACAGAAAATTCGGCCAAAAGAACAGCAGCTCCGGTATGACCCCATTCCACAGGAATCTGCTCGATTACTTCGTACGCCGATTCCTAATCCCCCTACACTGTTTGTTTGCCAACAAGGCGCCAACGAACCCATTGTTTTACTATTCCCTCAAAGTCAATCTGGACGTTGCCATGGCCATCGTCTGTCCTGAACCCGACGACGGCTTCTCACGAATCATGGCTACTGGAGGGGGGCTATTCCGCGAGGGTTTCTGGTGGGCAACATCCATCATCGGCCGCGAGATCATCTCTCAAGTCTCAGCGCAGCGTCGGGAGGGAACACTACATCGCAATTCCCCACACCGGGAGCTTCTCAAGCAAGCCGTAAGGGATATGATCTCTCTGGCGGAGGCGAGGATGCACGAAGGCGATACCAATGTAAAGCTTCACATGTTTCTGAGTATGATATTGGCACAAACCGAAGCTACGGAAGAAGGCGTATCATGCGAGCTCAGGATTGCACAAGGAGCGAGGGGAAGCCTTCAGTTTTGTCATGATCTGCTGCAGGCACAAGCCGTTCCCGAGCCCGTGCCGTATTATGACGACGCGGGAGTCACGTCCTCGACATTATATGGGGCGCCGGGAAACTCGCTTTGGGACTTTGACCTGGAATTCTTTCTGCCTGATCTGGGGCTTTCGTAGCCTACTAGACGTCGGATATGCTGTTATCCCATGGTTAAGCACGAGGCCAACAGTAGGCGGAACGGTGGGAACATCAAGAGTAGACCGAGTATTACAAGACGAAATTATAATGAGAGCTTAAATAATACTGAATTGCCTTCATTTACAATTTACATATAGGTTTTTCTCATTTGCTTTATGAGCCCAGTTAGGCCCGTTCTTACGATGTGGCATTGTTACGCCCGCTCTGCTTACACCCGCTCAAAGACCCCCTGCTTACGTCCGTCGCTACGTCCGCGGTCACTTACGTCCGCCGGCGAGCGTATAAAGAGCACCGCACCGGCAAGGAGTCTCGTGATTGATGTATTCAGATTTAAAGAAAGAAATCTTCAAACGGGTGGAAATTTAATCATCCTGTTGAACACCTCTACTCATTTCTCTTCCGCAATGCCTCTGAAGATCCTCATCAACGGTGCTGGCATCGCCGGCACAGCCCTCGCCAACTTCCTCGTGCGGTCCAAACAAGGCCACGACATCACCATAGTCGAGAGAGCATCCAAGTTTCGTACCGGCGGGACCCAGCTGGATTTGAAGTCACATGGTGCCCCGCTGATGAAGAGGCTGGGACTGATCGATGCGGTCCGAGCAAAGAGCATACACGAGACAGCTCTCACTTTCGTTGACACGAAAGGAAGAGAGTGGGCGAGATTCGGTATTAATAAGGCTGGTAAAAGATATAGCGGAGTGACGAGCGAGTATGAGATCATGAGGGCGGACCTGGTAGAGGTCTTGTACGAAGGAAGCAAAGCGATCGCTGCAAAAACCTCCGGACAAGAGTCGCAGACGCTGAAGTACCTTTTCGGAAAGCATGCGGTTGAGCTTCAGCAGCTCAACTCCAAGGTCAACGTGGTATTCTCAGACGGCTCTTTAGACGAGTACGATCTCGTCGTTGGTGCGGATGGCCAGAACTCCCTGACGCGGCGTATGCTATGGGAGCCTGAGAAGGACCACGATTCCGCGCTCCAGTATACAGGCTACTCGGTTGCTTATTTTCATATGCCAAAAGCAGAGGAAGAGGTCGACAGCAACCTGTTCAAAAACTGCCTCCTCCCAGGGCTCAAGGTGCTGTCGCTTCGCTGCGCGCACAAAGACTTTACACAAGCCATGCTCACGGCATCCACTACAGAGGAGCTGAAGGAACTGGATAATCAGCCGGTTGAGAAACAGAAAGACCTATGGGAGACATCATATAAGGATTTCAGATGGGAAAGCAAACGAGTACTTGCCGAGATGCGGACTACTGAAGACTTCTACACAGCCTCTGTGGCTCAGGTCAAGGTGGACACATGGTCCAAAGGCCGAGTTGTTCTGCTGGGCGACGCCGGATACTGCCCGAGTCTTCTAACCGGGCTTGGAACCACAGCATCGCTCGTCGGAGCATACGTGCTTGCGGGTGAGCTCGCGAGACACGGAGGCAACGTCGGCGAGGCGCTGGAATCCTATGAAACGGTGCTACGACCTTACGTGGAAAAGGTTCAGCAACTTCCTCCCATGAATCTCTCCATCTTTCGATCCAAGCTCGGGTTGAATATATCTTACGTTGTCCTGGCCGTTTTGTCGAAGCTGAAGATAGATGGCCTAGCGAATTTGCTGATGAGGGATGAGAAGGAAACTTGGCAGCTCCCAGAGTATCCGGAGCTAGATTTGGAGGAATGAGCATTATATTTGCCGCCAATTTTCAGATTTGGCGTGGATACTAGTACTATCGTATTCAAGCCACCTTATATCCTAACTTAAATGTACGGCGTCTCATCACTCCATCTAAGCCGGCAAAAACCTGGCTACGCATGTGACTAGAGCTATTTAGATGTGAGTGTGCTCGGCGTTGCTCATCTTATTGCTTTAATTCGGGAGCGCCATTATAGTATACTGCAAGAAAAACTGCGGTAAATCAAGTCAGATGTATTCTAAATAAAGCGTTGCAGTCAAACACAAAATTACCAACACATTAACAGTGGCCCTGTTCGTGCATCGCAGTGGCAACAATGATCAAGCCGCGAAACAAATGGGCAAGATGGCCTGGGGCTGGGATCCATATCGTGTGCTATGGTCCGCCCAGAAAACGAACGGGATCCTTTCCGACACCTTTTGTTCGGCATCGAGAACATCAAGCGTCGTTGCAGCAGGGCTCGTTTTCTCACCCAAGTGAACCGTACTATTCCTAACCTCGTTTACGAACTGTTCCTATCGCTCCCAGCCATCTCCATAAGCTTCCGAGGACCAGAGGCCCTGCAACGGCCCCCCTGACCCTGTCCAGAAGAGTCTGGGTCTTCCATAGCCCGTGGAGACGAGGCTGGGGCTGGTGTCGTCGGCTGTGGCCATCCCCCCAGCTATCTTTTCCCGGACTGAGATCGGGTCATTCCAGGATTTGTTACCAGCATAGGTGACATAGTAGGTGCCGTCTCCGCCGCCGCCGTTATAGAAGAGACACAGGTTCTTGCCCCAGATACAAGCACAAGGCGTCGAATTCTCGGCGACCAATACGCGGCCTCGAATCGGTGATTGATAAGTCCAGGTTCTGTCCTGGAGTGTAAACCAGTATATCCCATCTCTGCCGAAAAACCCATCTCTGCCGGAACCGCACCAAAAGACATGGAGCTCATCGTTATAGGCGGCGGCGGCCGGCGAGGTATTCTCAGCAAAGCCCATTCGCTTGGCCGGGACGTGGTCAATAAGAGCGGCCACCCTCGGCTCCCAGCCACTCCTAGTGCACCGAGCGTAGAAGGTACCATCTCGGCCGCGTCCGTTGTAAAAGAGATAGAGCTTATCTCGGTACACGGCGGCACATGGCGAGGTTCCCGGGGCAACAGCAATACCAGAGACGAAGCCTTCGAGGGCGTAAACGGCTCCCCATTTGGCACCGTTGGAGGTCCTCTTCGCACAGTAGATGCCGCCAGCATATGAGCCCACCCAGAAAGCATATAGATCTCCCATATAGGAAACAGCGGTAGGAGAAGTGCCCTCCATGGCTAAGGCGCCAGGTATGTGCTGTGCAAAAGAGAAGCGTATGGTGAATATTGATCAGTCAAAGGCGTTAGTGGTTGTGTGGTTTGGCTTCGCTGGACAGAACCAGCAAACAATAAACAAGAAAAGGAGGATCGGGCTATCTATAACTCCAATTACCGCGTGAACTTCAAACCGTGTTTCAATTCCTTCTCATGGGCCAACCCAATGGCGACGACTGAGACTACATGAGGCATCAAATAGTCCAAACAATAGTCGCGAGTCTCTGACCAAATAAATGAACACTCAGCTTGTCTAGATTGTATGAGCTATGCGCCCAGGCAGCCTAGGCGCCTAGCTGAACTGCAAGTCTTAGGTTATAGGCGTAGAGTGCATTTGAAGTCCAAGCCTCCACGAGACTATTTAGTGGATATTGGCTACTAAGAAGCCCGAAATTAAGTGCTTTCTCTGCATTACTACTTTCTACGAATTCTCGGTAGGCACATATACATAGTAGTCCATGTGTCCCTTTGATCTAGCATGAGAACCGCTCCAGTATATTCTTTATACCATGATGTAAATTACATGGTAGCTCTGGGGACCTAATAAGCACCATTACTTTGGAGCCGAGTAAATCCAGCCTAATTAGCAGTCTATCTTAAATTAGTAAATAGCCCAAAAAGAGCCGTAGACTAGCTATCAGATTCGGGTGGGTTAAAGAGGTCATTACAGCAAACATTGAAATCTAGGTTTGTGTCTTGGTTAAGATGGATTGCATCCCAAGCACGAAGATTACAGGGCTCTATGCCTCCCGCGGCAAGACATTCTGCCTGAATATTCACTACGGCTGCCCAATCCTTCATAAGCTGAGAGCTCAGCCCCAGCTGAGGATTTGTCTCGACCCACCAGCCTCTAGGCTCTTTTCATCTCGTCAGCCCACCCCTCACGAACCAGGATGATGCCACGAGCACAGCTGAACCGCAAGCCACGTCCGAGGGTAGACAGCCAATGAACCCGCCGAGTGCCTCCGGACATGTCTAAGCAAACGTAGCGCTGGCTGTGTATCCTCCCGTCGCCTCAGTAGCGACATGGCAAGCCCGGATTTGTTTGTAGCGAGCCTCCCAGAGCTTGTGCGCGACTCGCAACTCCAGGCGCGATTTGAGACCGATGGGGAGCACCGCTTCGTCGTACACACTCGCTCGTCTAGCCGCCACCTATCGCAGGAGAAATGGCGCAGCCAACGAAGGCTGGGAAGCGGGGGACAGGGCGCCGTTGAACTGCAGGTCAAGCAGATGACGCAGTCTGGTCGGCCTCAGTTGCGAGCCGTTAAAACCCTCAACATTCCCAACGAGCTTACTTCATCGATTGGGAAACTGCACCAAAGAGAGCTCGAGACAATTGCCAAGTTCTCTCAAGCAAAGGTACACACCACTCTTCCGAGCTATAGAAGCCCAAGTTTAAGGAGAGCCTACTGACCTTGATATTTAGTACTCGGATCATTTTGTGAAGTCCTTTGGGTGGTTCATCAGCCCCGGACGCATACATATTGCGATGGAGTACTGCGAACTTGGTGATTTGGAAAAGTATCTCTCGAAGTGCCCATTGCATCGAGTATCAGAGGCGGAAGCACACGATATCTCTTCGCAGATACTTGACGCGCTGTGCAGCATGCACGAGGAGAAATATTGCCACCGAGACCTGAAGCTAGCCGTAGGTTTCCATCTAACCAACCGAAAGACTCACTCTATGTTCAGTAGTGGCATCTTCTAACACCTCTGTTTCCAGAACGTTTTGATCATGAGCACTACGCCTTCTTGGTGGATCAAGCTGGCTGACTTCGGTCTCAGCAAGCGTGATACAACTATGGCGCAGACAACAGCAATTCGTGGGACGATCAATTATATGCCACCAGAGCTGCTTGGATATACTGATGACTCGGACTCGGCAGACCCTTATGCGGTGGATATGTGGTGTCTAGGACAGGTGGTCTTCAGACTTGTTGCAGGTCAACCGATGTTCTCGTCTCTGGGCAACCTATCCCGATACTGTCGCGGTGAAATGCAATTTCCCGAGACGTTACTGAGAAAGTATGAAGAGATTGACCATGAACTCGTGACCTTTACCCAATCACTCACTAAGCCTCAACCTGAGGATCGAATGTCCTCGGAAAAAGCATCAGCGCACCCATGGATTAAGGCAGAGAAACATTATCCTCCTCCTAGAAGTTTCAGCCCTGGGTCAAACACAACGACTCCATTTGTGCAAGATGAAGACTCTGATCAACCATCGGCAACTTGGGCCGCGTCAACAACAATTAGACTTGCCGAGCACGACACGAATTCTACCCCTTGGACTGCATCAGGTATCACACAAGATGAAGCTTCTGCTGAGTGGCCGTCTCAATCTACGACAGAATCTGTTTATAGTACCGAAACGCATACCGCGCAGCCAGCCGCTACCACTCCGAGTAACGTCATTGATGCAGAGAAATACAAGATTGCTGCGAACCGGTTATTCAAGGAAGGGAAACACACACACGCCATCGTCGAGTATACCAAAGGTATGAAAAGCTTGAGGAATCTTAGAAACATTGGGAGATTGCCCTCATCCTATTATGACATGAAGACTAGCAGACTAACATACATTTTCAGCCATCGAACTAGATCCCTCCTCAACGCTCTACCTCGGAAACCGAGCTGCGGCGTACATGGCTACTGGCCAATACGAAGCCGCGCTACATGATTGCCAAAAAGGCATCGAATTGGATCCATATGCTCAGAAAATCTATCAACGTCTCTTTCGCCTGTACACATATATGGGCCACCCTGAAAAGTCGATAGCCATATTTGGACGTATCAATCCACCCCCGCCTCCCGCAGACATCAGCAAGACAAACAAGATGCAGGAGAGTATTCGGAGGGCACAAAGAATCATCAAGGCTGGCACCGACCTAGACCAGGCTGTCCAAGCACTTGATGAGGCAGAGCTGGGTCTTGCTCCAGGTGCGGAGGTTCCCAGGAAATGGAGGCTGACGAGAGCAGAAGCCTACCTGGTGATGAACAACAGCGAAAGTCTGAGTGAAGCCAGGAGGATCTGCATATCGATTTCCAACGAAGGTCCTGTGGGTGGTGATGTGCTGACCCTCCATGGCCGAGTTTCATACGCAGAAGATGAAATGGTGAGAGCTTTGAAATATTTCAGAGAAGCACTTGAGCGCGATGAGACGCGGCAGGATGTCAAGAAGTGGATGAACTTGGTAGAGAAATTGGTCAGTCTCAAGAAAAAGGGAAACGGCTTGTTTAGCGAGGGACGCTTTGCCGAAGCCAGGGATGTCTACACGGATGCCATAGCCACAGACTCCAGGAGCAAACCCATGAGCGCAAAGCTTCTCGGCAACAGAGCCCAGTGCAACATCAGGCTTGGGGATAACGAGAAGGCCATCGCCGACTGCGACGCCGCTATCAGGCTCGACCCCAACTATGTGAAGGTCAGAAGGACCAAAGGGACAGCTTTACATAATCTTGGAAGGTTTGAAGAAGCGCTCCAAGTCTTGGAAGAGGCCCAGAGACTTGATCCTGCAGACAAAGCTACGGTGCAGAATATCAAGGCTGCGAAGGCTGCCCTTGCGTCGAGCCGGTTCAGTAATGGTATTGACCCGCGCGATCTCTTTGCGCTATTCAAAAAGGATGACGTCTCGGGGTAAGCCTTCCTGTCCAATATCTGGAATAGCTGTATCCTTTCCCCTTTTTCGTTCTTCTCTCAAGATTTTTCATTGGCCGATGGAATAACCTGGGATGATCACAGGAGCACAAGTACGCCTAGTACCTCAGCCGATCCAAGCAACAAACCACCGCCTCCACCCCCACGCCCCATCGACCCCAACACTACATTCAATAAGCCAAATAGCCCAGGTGAGCCTGCCTCTGATGGGACGTTTACGATCTCCAATGCCCAAGAGATTTTCGACATACTTGCGCGTGATCACGGCAACCAGCGTGATGAAAGCAATGGACCAGGAAATCCCTCTCGAGATTCTCGTGTACAAGGCGCCCCGGTCCCTCCTGAAAGCCGCAAATTCAAAGTCACCAATGCCAAAGATATCTTTGAGGAGATGAAGCGAATGAACCAAGGCGGAGGGAGAGCCTAGTAGTTTCGCGGGGATGATCGTTGAAGCAGCGCGCAAACTCAGGCGCCTTCAGTCGCGAACTGTTCTACTAGTGTTGGCCTTTTTATTCTTTCAAACAAATTTTAGTAAATAAAGAAGTTTTACCTTTTCGTATTTGCAGTGGGAGTAGAGTTCTCCATGACGATTCCGCTGTTCGGCAACAGAGGAGCAAGCTTGTAGAACAATATCGATCAAGTTCAGTTGCGGACTTCGACTATCTAACCTTTAGAGTAATGCTCTTTGGTACATGTTTACTTGAAAGGAACTCGTTTTTCATGTCGAAAGTTGGTCCAGTAGCCACTTATTCACCTCAAATCGCCGCTTTCTGCTGTTGATGGGAAAACCTCAACTTCACCATTGCTTGTTTACCTATATAGACAGAGGCAGCACGTGTCTGACTTAGTTGACAAGTTCGTACAAAGACAACTTCTAACTCCGTTGTTGACTATCCAGTCGAAATGCTGTTCTCCATGTCAGTTTTATAACGAGTAGCGACATTTTCAGAAGCTGTGTAGCCCAAGGCTAGTTCCTGCCACCAAGCGTAGATATTTTTTTCTCTGAACTCTACTCCCTAATCGGAGAATAACTGAGTACTAATTGAACTCCTCAACCATTTTTTCCTTTTAGCAACAATTGACAGAAACGATGTCCGACACGATAGTGGCGGAGCGGAGTTGAGTCGGGGAGATTTCGGCCCGACCAGCAGTTGACACAGCCACGATCTGACTCGAGGCTGACAGACTTATTCTCCAACCTCGCACTTGCTACACCAGTTCCCCAGAATCATGGAGGCTCTGGAAAGAAACTCTAAACCCTCTACAGGGCCAATCGCCGGCAGTGAATTGTGCAAACCCACGCCAAAGCGATCTCGCGTCGTTGTCTCGCAGTCGAGCCGCGGCTGCGTGACTTGCAAGTAATAAGCCCCCCCTACCTTGACGCCCACCCGACTGACCAACTCCAGGACCCGCCGGGTCAAATGTGACGAACAGAAACCTCTGTGTCGCCGATGCATCCAGGCGGGTCGGTTATGTGGCGGGTACAGCCACAAGAGCAAGTCGTCATCCGCTCTGCAACCTGCTCTGAGGACTGGCGTCAAAGTGGACAGCAACGTTGAGAGGCTAAGCCATCTCGCAGCTCACGTCTTATCTTTGAATAACGAGGGCCTTCCTGCGCAAGAGGATGAGGTCTGGGGTAGAGTATTTCTCCAGTTGTCTAATAAAAACGAATGCGTCAAGGCCGCGGCAGCTGCATTTGGCGCTGCCTATGAGTTGTCGTTGAATGACACGATAGAAAAGGTCCCAGGTTCAGCTTGGCGTTACTACGGCTCAGCATTGACAATGCTCCAATCAGGGCTGAAAGACGATGGTGTCGAGCCGGAGTCTCTAGCTCTGGCATCACTGATCCTGGCTTGCGTCGAAGTCCTGAGCCAGCACGAGCACAACGCATTCGCCCATTTTCTCGGAGCCGTGCAGATCCTGACCAGAGCCTATCAGCGTCGAAGCGGAGCTCCATCTTCTGATTTTCTAAATAAAATCAAAGATGGCGTGGTCAATGCCAATCTTCTGCTTGGCGGTTATGCTCTTTCCCAGACACCCCAGTTGATGTATGTCGTATTTCAAGATGCAGCCCCTGGAAACAATTTATTCGATAAGCCCGAGCTTGCTATCGATGCCGCAATGTTGTGCCTTCAGCGATCATACCAATTTATATCCTCCGCTTCCCGCCTCCAGTATAAACATCCAAGCTGGAAAGAGTACAACTCCGCCCTGTGCCAGGACCAAAATAAAGCCTTGGCCGAATGTGATTATATGCTCGATGGGCTTGCGGAACTTATCACAAGACTGCAAGCTCAGCATTCCTCCTCAACAGTCACACAGAAGGATTGGGAGATACTAGCAGAACTTTATGCTCTCCGAACACAGCTAACAGCGAATACTATCTTCATACTGTGCATTGATACCCCATTTGAAACGGCGTATGATGAACACTTGGACAAATTTCGAAGCATCGTGAGTGATGCTGCAGCATCGGCGCGGCTACGGCGATGGTCCAAACCCAGCGCTTTCAAACGCTTCTCAACGCGCCTTGGTATCGTCAGCCCTCTCTACTTCACGATTTTGAAGTGTAGGGACCCAGCGTTACGTAACGTGGCAGTAACAATGTTGAGCGAACAGGACCGCGAGGGGCCGGCCGATGGACACATTCTGGCGGCGATCGGTGCTCAAGTGGCTGCACTGGAGATATCTGACAGTTCGCCCTCCACTCCCGGCGCTCCTCTGGCTGCCTGCGACATCCTCGAAGAGCAGAGGTTTCACGGGTTCACAGTCCCCCCTCCAAGATTCGATTCTGAGGGCCGGCGCGTGGTCGACGTTGTTTTCACCCGGCCAAATCCGCCTCTCGCCCAGGGATGGGGCGATGCCGACTACTCAGTGCCGGGTGGCTGGAGCAAGTGGTCGGTGCCTGTCAAGATCTAGACTTCTAAAGTTGCTGCGGCACTTCCTTTGTTTTAAATCCCGCTAATTTCTATTTCGAGTGTAGAGATGCTACCAATATTCTCTCGGACAGCATATAGTGTTTTAATTAATATATGAAAAACCAGCAATAGAAGGGGCCAGGCCCGACATCTCAACATACCAACCACAAAGGCAAAAAGAGCTTTACTAGCCCAAGGCTACAGCCATGCATAAAAAACTTTGTAAAACTCCATATCGATGCGTCACTTGCCATAGGGGCGAGCCGCTTGTCATATTACTACTTATCCTATCCTCTTTCTATCCAATCCAAATACTTCAACTAAGCCCGAGGTAACCAAACAAGTCCTAATGTCTCCTTGGCCAGAGCACGTAGACTGGCGAAAAAGGCATTCCTAGGTGTGCCCGAGAATTAACTTAATGATAATGCTATCTCAGCATTGAAGAGCGGCAATAGGCTGAAGTGGTTCCAGTTCCTATGTCCAAGGCTAGATCACTGCAGAAGAATGCCCAACCCCAGAAAAGCAAGTAGGGCAGCCTGCGATGGTTTACGCAGAGAGGAAAGAAACTGGAAGGGATCAGGGCTTCACAGAAGATAACTTTTATAGTAATGCTTCTTAGCCCCGAAACCACAATGAAATAGAGCACAATGAGAGTGGTTGAGGGCATTCTTCTGCATTGACCTGACCTTGGGCATAAGGAACGGGCACCACTTAAACCTATTACTGTTATTCAATACTTAGATAGCATTAGCATCAAGGTCCTCAAACAGCTCATGCTGATCAATCTGATCAACTGGAACTGCCTTTTAAGGCACCAAGATCCGTATGCCTTGCATGATGTGTGCGTACAAACAGCCAAGACCTACGCACGTGTCAGTGTAAGGGCTCTAGTCAAGGGGCTACCGGTACTCACTGGGTTGCCTTGAGCTTGGTGGGTGAAAGTATTTGGATGGAATGATAGAAGACGAACGTATGAAGGAAGGGTGGAAGAGGGCAGAATAAATAATCATCTGACGAGCGGCTCATCCTGACGGCATATGAGTCATCGGTGTGAAGGTTTGCAGAGTTTTCCTTTTCCTTCTGCGTGGCTCTAGCCCTGGGCTGCCCCGACAGCAATCCAAGGTTCATAGGGGTTTTCTGCTACGTGGTTGTACCTCTAGGCTGGCAGAGCTTACTTTTCAACCCTTCGTATTCATTATTTTGAGATGTCGGGTCTGGCCTCTTCCGCCGCCGCTTTTTCACTTTGTAATCAAACTCTCACGCAATCACGGATTTTTGCCAGTGGACACATTCTAAGCCTACGAAAATATACCAATCATTTCTCCAATAGAGTTGTTTAGTCTGCAAGATCTGACAGGTGGCCATGCTTTCAGAGTGGAATTAGAACCGTACCACTGATCCCCTGCCCTGTCCTAGACTTAACACTGCAAGCTAATTCCAAAATATCTAGCCCGGATACTTATGACCGAAATGATAAATTGAATAGCGAATCACTCCGCATAATGTAAATATATTTTCGAAGAGAATTACGGGTGTATTATCAAGATATTGTGGGTAGTGGATCCAGAGTGTAGCCACAACAGGCTTTGACACTTGATGCTTACAAGTTACATGGAGCGCTACCAAGGGTGAGAGAAAGCGGAGCTCAGCTCGGTGTTTTTGGGACCTAAACTAAATTGGAGCAAAGACTCACATCAGCAAAATAACCTGTCACCGGGGGCTGTGACGGCCATCTTGGTCTTGGGCAGCTTCTTCACAGCCTTCAGGGGTCCGTTGATGAGACGAAGAGCAAGTGGAGCCCTGCTCGGTGTTTTTGTGAGCTAAACTGTGTCAGAGTTGGAACGGGAAAAGTACCCATCGCCTACAACCAATAATAGCTGTGGGGACCATCTCGGTCTTTGATGGTCTGGCAACGATTTGCTGCGTCTGCATCAAAAAGAAAACCATACAGTTGCTTGGGATTCATTTTCAGTCCAATTTGTCATGATGATAACATGTGCTGCTGCGCCCCGTCTCCACGTAGGCAAATGCAAACATGCCTCTATCAACGGCAGTATATATTGCGCCGTCCTAGTCTTTCCCATCCAAGAGAAATCATCGTCAGAGACAATCCACCCATTCTATGGAAGTACGAAAATCCAACTGGTCGATCTTGGAATTACGGCCACCTACCATGTCTACCACCAACAGCACACAGACGAGTGTGTCTTGCACGCTCGATACATGCCCACTATCCATGGGCATAATTACATACCAACCCAACATCGGCGGCAATGCGTTATTCCTTTCGATCTTCGGCACCTTGTTTCTCGTGCAGCTGTACTTTGGCATCCGACGCAAAACCTGGAGCTACCTGGCGGCCATGGTATTAGGTTTGGTCACCGAGGGCGTTGGATACATTGGACGTTTACAACTCCACAACGACCCTTTCAACTTCAACTATTTTCTCGTGTAAGCAGCATCAAGACCACTCCAAAGCACAGTGCTCAACGATCTAACCCATCTGCTAGGTATCTCGTTTGCCTAACCATCGGACCAGCGTTCCTCACAGCCGCCATCTACATCACATTCGCCCGCGTCGCGTACTCCTGCGATGAAAGCCTCCTATGGGTCCGATCGAAGACAATATCCATCATATTCATGACATGCGACTTTATATGTCTAGTGTTACAGGCCACTGGGGGCGCGATCACTTCGACATCAGGGGGCATGACCCAAGAGGCACTAGATATGAGACAGACGGGCGTGAATGTCATGATCGGCGGGCTGTCGTTCCAAGTCGTGTCTCTCTTCTCGTTTATACTCTATGCTGCTATTTACGCGTGGAGATGGCACTCTGCAACTAAGTTCGACTCTTACCACGTTCGCATACCACCCACTCATTCAGGTTTCCGGTGGAAGAGTATGATCTATGGTAGGTCAAAATCACATGCTGGAAGTGAAGATATTCTTACGTTACTCTTTTAGGTCTTGCGATCGCGTCGGGTACCATTTTCGTGAGATGTATTTTCCGTGTTGCCGAATTAAAGGATGGTTTTGGCAGCTCACTCGCCAACGACGAAGTGGCATTCATGATTTTGGAAGGCACCATGATCGCCATTGCGAGTATCTGCTTGACTGTCGGACATCCCGGCTTGTGTCTCGACATTGAGTGGAGGCTCCCAAAGCAGGTGCTGCAAAAGGTTCGAGATGACAGTTCAAACCTGGAGTTGGAAAATGTTCACGTCTCCGAGTAAGGATGGCCAGCAAGGTTAATGAGCTTTAGATGTATGGAAAGTTAAGGGTCAAGGATCCATTATTATTATAAAAGATAGAGCTTTGTTAGTATATGAGTACTTGCCTTACTAAATTTACCTTGAATAGATTCTAGTTTAGTTACCACTTCGCTGTTTTGTCATGTTTAGGAAGAGAGAGATAAACAATGAAGATCACCAAGCTGCTACAAAGATTCTACTTCATTCTATCCCGAAAAAGGACCTAATCAATAAAGGAACGAACCGATGTGATCTAAATGTTTGTGTGTTAGTTGTTGGGTTTTATGCTGTCGCTACAGTATAGGGTAGGCAGATATCAGGCAGGCCTTCAATGTTGCTTTGGGCTGCCAAGCATCTGATTGTAATTGTCAGATTTGCCAAGACAGTCGCATAATGGAGACGTTCTAGACCAACTTCTGTACGCAAACGCGCTCTCGTTGGATTGAACAGTGGCTATGTGGCGGAGCTAGAGTAATGAGAACCTCTAGTCTCATCCATCTTAAAGGATTGAGGCGCTATAATGCCACAAATGTGCAATTGCCGCCACGAAACTGAGCATCAAAAGACGGCCCCCATCTTGGCACGGGCCCCGCGGCTGATTTTCTGCACACACAGCCACAAGTGAGCATTACCAACAGGTGTCGTGAGCCCATTTGATGATCCGACCATCCATAGCATGAATGGGATTGATCCCAGTACTTAAATGAGCCCTGGTCCCCCGCAAATCCCGATGCCGCTGGGAAATGTCGCGGTAATCGCAAATCACTCACCACAACAACCATGCCGCCAATTCAAAACACATGCACGCCGGGTCTGGGCATTCGGTTGGACAAGAAACATGACAGCTACCGACCGGGCGACACCATCGTCGGCTGGGTTTACCGTGAATCCCCCGTCGTCTGCCCTGACGCGGCCGTCAAGGTCTCCCTCCATGGAGCCACCCGCACACGTATGAGATCAGGCGTGCGCTGGGCCGATACATACCAGGGTAACTTTACAATAATCGAAGGAGAGAAGAACAGACAGGAGCTTTTCCGAGGACCTCTCCATGTTGGCTCAGATCAATCACACCAGGAGTGGCGCTTCGCATTCACACTGCCCACCCATATTGATTTGAGCTGGTTCGCAAATAGCAAGCACAGTCGCGAGTTTTTCATGCCTGCTTCCGGGGGCAGTGTCGGCGTGGAGCCATTGCCCGCGAGTTTCCAGAAGCTCGAAGATGGGGAATACAACGAAGGGATTGTCGAATATTATCTTCGAGCCAGCTTGGAACTCCGTAGCAAGGATCACCCTGATGCTCTAAATGCGTTATTACCCATCAGGATTCTGCCATCTCTGCCTGAAAAGATGCCTTCTTTCGAAGATAGCTTGCAACTCAATAGAGAGCCGGTACCCTTTCACGTCCCGGATTTCACCTTGGGATCGAAACCCCACCTCTCAAAGTCTCAAAAGATGAAGAACCTACTAAAGTCATCGTCTGCATCGAAGTCCACACATGAAATCCACACATGGGTCCCATCCGTTCTCCAAATCAACGACCCCAGGCCGATGGGATTCTTGCTGCACGTAACACCAATGGGGGAGAATGCGTCTGAACTGATCGAGAAACTTGCACCCACAGTTCGGCTGAAGCGCGTCGAGATTCAAATAGAATCACTTACTGGCATCAAAGCTGAAACAACATATGGCAGTATCGACGATGGCTGGAAGAGTACTAAAGATCTCACTAAGAATATCCCGCCATCTTTCTTCTCTGACATTGTGATCCCCTCAACGGAGGATCTACCGCCCATTGACTTGGGGCAGATGATGGACGTTCACCTCCCCTCACCCGACATGCCTGACGCACTCTCTCCCAGCTTTTCTATTTGCAATGTCAAGGTGGAGCACACGGTACACTGGCAAGTAGACTACGAAATTGCAGGGAGAGCCTGCAAGACGCGTGGATCACAAAGTCTTCTCGTTTTACCAGCGTCAGATGCATGCCACCAATCCGCCGAGAGCCAGGAAGGCTCGGGTGTACAGCTGCCACCATACCAAGATTCAGCAGCGACGGCAGCACCCGAATATACAGAGGAATAGTTGGTGCGGGAGAATTGAAGGATTAGCTTGGGTATACCCTTTTCTTTTAGGCGTTTTCCTGTCAGGTAGCTGTTTAATTCAGTCTAAGGTCAAAATACGTATTTTCTTTTCTATTGTACATGCGCAACCATGCCAACCTTGACAAGTAGTTCTAGATTGCATCCCTTCATAATCTTCTCCAGTACGCTTTTCTTCCTTTTTTCTTCATTACTGTGCTCATGCAGGATAAGATGTTTTCTTGGCCCATTCACCTTGAATATCTCTGAGTAGTAAGTGAGAGAGCTATACAGTTATGCGGCAGTTGCCGAAGAGAAAAGGGGGGAAATTCCCAAATACCAAGAATTTAACAACTTAACACTTACCCAGTATCACAATATATTATATTACTGGTGGTGTGAGGGGGGGTTCAGCTACTTCGGTTATTTAATCATTGACTGGGAAAGTACTATTATCTAATAAAAATCGTTAAAATATCAAAATAATTTTAAATTTCAAATAATTTCAAACGGTGCTAACCAATCAGAGTTCTGGAATATTCGGGAAGTAATAATATAATTAGTTAGGGAAAAGGTCGGCAGTATATACGATTAGATAGGCTAAACATCGGATTTAGCACTTATTAGTTCATATTTCAGGTACCTCTTATAGTAAAATTAGTATACGATATATTATATGATAATCTGGTATACAGTATACCTAACTATTTCAATTAAGCCCAGTCTACTATATCAACTGCCTCTATAAATACACCAGATATAATCAATTAAATATATATATTTAATATTTATATTAATCAATTCCCTTTTACATTTCTTTTAATTAAAGCAACTCAACTTTCCAGTCTACCCAAATAATATATCTATTAACCTCTACTATATATAGCTTATATAGCTATAAGATGCCGATACTGATAATAATTGTGTTACCAGGTGAGATAACAGGCAAATCCAGTACTTTATTATACTGGTCGGTATTAACCTCAAGGTAAGTAGTAATAATAAAGATAAACCGTTCGTCGGATATCAGTACGTATATAAAAATATAGTTAACCCGTACGAGGACAGCTATATCTATCTTATAAGTCTTGATTATTATGTAATTACCTTTTGAGAATACCCAGCGCTTATTTAACCTATAGGATAACAGTATCCTTATATTAGCACATCTATATTTCAGTAAAGCAGTACTATACAGTTCAATATAGTTAGTATATACGCACGCCACGAGAAACAGTATAAAGGTCTGGTGATTGGACGACTTAAATACGTCAAGGCTGTATTATATCTATTATATCCATAGCAACCGATCAAAGTCTACAATATTCGATCTAATTACTATCTTAATAACAACCCATTAATTAATTAAATATTAGCGGATATCCATATACCGTGGGAGATCAGTTGGAGATAATATACCAGGTATAATCCCTATCCCGACCCCGGGACCCATACCAGCGCCCAGGACCCATCAACACAGATACTTCTTCTGTATTAAGAGGAGCTGGTCAGTATATTACTTGATCTAATAGGGTACAGCAGTTACATCAACTCACCAGCTACACCGAGCCTCCAGAGGTTATCCTCAGACAGTATTACTACAGTATCAATAACTACTAATTCATCCAATCACCAGGCCTTTACACTATTCCCCTCCCGCTAAGTATACTATTAAAACCTAGACAAGCAACACATTATTAATAACAAAGAGATATATAGCCACTTACTCAAGCATAAACCCAACTTTAGCTACCCATTAAACCAGGATTTTCCCAAAGTCAAGGATCTCCAGCTCATTATAATCCTGAGAGTATACAGTGTGAAGAAACATTCGGAAGGATCACGATATATTATCATACTTAGTCAGCAGTTCTCGGTTATTATTAATTAGATATCCTTTAGAATTCTAGGGCAAGATACATCTAATAACGGTATATTATTTCAGCCCTGTTAGTAAATAAATATTCATATCGAACTTATTATCCTCTGATTCCCTAACGGGTTCCTCTTAATCTTACAGCAACATAAAAAGCTCGAAGACTATAGGGCATTCCTTCCTAAGATCTTTAAGGGCTATTATTAGCTCAGTATCAGTAAAAAAGAACCTACGATCAACAGCAAAGCAAAGGGTCATCTGGACAATTATCTTCTGTAGCAAAAGCTTCTCAATATTTAAATAATTTATCTCATATACCTTCTTCTTAAACTATCTATTAAAGTAACAGAATCAGCAAGAGACCATCAAGCGCAGTACAGGAGGGTATAAAGGAGCCAGTTATAAGTACTAGTATGGCATATCAGTACTTCTGTAATAAGACTTCCTTAACAAAATAGTATCTACTTACCGATATAGCCCCTCCCTAAGCAGGGTATTTATATTAACTGGGAGCCCGTATTCCTTTATCAGCTGGGGATAGTGTATCCCGGCGTGGATATTGGGACACGATATCATATTCAGATATTCGGCAGCCTTTCTAGTAACTCTTATCGGGTTATTCGTAATATAGCTCGCCGTCGAGCCTTAAGTAATTAAAATATTATACTCGCTTAGTATATTAATATCGCTGCGCTTAATAGTTATTATCAGCTCGTCGACAGATATATTATCTGTCTGCGATTAAATACTTAGCGATACGAACGGATTAGTAGTGGATGATGAGAACGATGTGTAAGACTAACCATAAGATGGCGGGTATAAGCTAGAAGGCCGAGAGGCTTGCTCTAAAGATAGGCGCTGGATGGAATACGATATGATCCAGTATAGAGATCTAAAGTACTGGCGAGTGGTAATGATAATTTCGAGTATTTAATAGCAGTTAATACTAGACAATCTGGGTACTATAATAATACTATTGCTCTTCGCGACCTTGGTATATCCAGAGATGATGAAATCCAAAGTAATTTGGGTATCTGGTAGCTCTGTCTTATTCTAAGACTCGGTAAGAAAGAGCTGTACCTCTTTAAGTATATTGGGCAAGATATAGTCCGTACGAAGCTATAATCTAAGCAAACCAGGGATAATAAAGGCCTATTAAGCGTATTTCGCTAAGGTATAGCTGTTAAGATAGTAGATAGGTAATTAAAGACATCCCCAGCCAGAAGGGAAGGGCTAATTATACAGCCTGCGGACGTATTTACCTTAAGTATTTCTATATATAAAGTCAAGTAATACAATATATATCAGATACAATAGGCTGTTAAATTCAGAGTAAGCTCTATTAAGTAGATAGCTGAGAATCAGATCTAGCGAAGGTAATAGTAATATTAAGGCCAGCTGTTCCTCTTTAATCCCCTATTAAAAACTATAGCTACTAGTATATACACCGGATTCTTAGTTAATATAGTATTATATCTCTATAGATTAATAGTAATATCTTCTATATATTATAAAATCAAAGCTTAGAATATTATTACAGGTACCAGACTTAATAGCCTGATTGCTAATATAATAAAATCAATAGTATTTATCTACTTACAGCCCTTTAAAGCTATAATTAGCAGCTTGCTGGGGTATATCGCCGAGATAATAAAGGATTAGAATATAAATCCTGACCTCTACACCGTCCATATTAGTAATGATACCCTAGTCAAGGTCGCGGAGGGATATAAGAGATCAGATAATATTATCAAAGTTGGATCTATATAGACCAAGGGTAATTAGAAAGATATTAGCCTAACTCTTACGGTTACTGAGCTTGAAGCTAGCTAGAATAAGATATACCCTAACGAGAGAGCGATTAGCGTTACGATATAGTCTAAATCCGTTAATAAAAGCTATAACAGGGTATAAGAGTACCTCTATCGTATTATCCTGGCAGTAGTCCTATTCTTTATTAAATAACAGGCGACTGTATATCTTAAGTTTAAGTTTACTACGGATTAGGTATATATAGTATAGCAGTACGAGATGAGCAGGAACCTCTGTATCTATTCCAGGATATATAATAGCTTAGCAGATAATAAACCCTTTATTATCAGCCCGGGCTAATCCCTTAATATTATACTTACAGAATATATTAATCTTCTTCCTTACCTGTGCCTATTACTCTCAGGTACTTTAACCTTTAACTTATATTCTGAGATAGCTATATACAATCTCTTGTATATATTCGGTAACTATATAATACAGAGCAGGATTATTATATATCTTACCCCAGAAATAGTCATATTTAAAACAGCTAGTAATAATATTAAGAATATAGTTTTCAGGGATAAATATATTAATTATATAGAGAAGATACTCTTACTCTACTAAAGATATATTACTAAGATTATAATTAATTAATACCAGAAGTTTAGGAAGATTATAAAAACTAATAAGCTTATAAATAATAAGGGTAATCCCACCTGATTCGATAGTATAATATATAGTATAGAAATCTCTGCCGACTACAACAACTTATCCCCAGTAGGCTGTTTCAATATTATCATATAAGGCTCACTAGTATATATAAGTTTCTTTAAGATAACAGTACTAAATAAAGTTAGAAGGGAAGATAGTATCTCCGGGGACAGGATTAAGATTACCTTCAGAACCCTCGAGTTATATATAGGCAAAATAACCAGATATAGTTCGGACGGAGGATACCCAGGCTAGTAACTTATATAGTTCGTTTGGTTTATTAATGAAATAAGCTATACTGGAGTATATCTTTTCCTTTGCCTTGCAAGTAGCTATAAAAGCTTTGAAGAGTGATATCGGATTAATCAACCAGAGTGTTATAGTTGGATCAGACTGATCGGCAGTTGCCTTATCCACTGGGCGGGCTATTAGCAGTTTCTCAGCATTTAGGGGGATATTAGTACGTTATATATTAATAAGAGGGAGATAATTAGTAATATAGTGCTTTAATATACTGAGCTGATTTAGCAGGTTCTTAATATCTGGGTAAACTTATCTATCTAGGCTACGAATTTACTATATTACCTTGCGAATACAGGCATATTAGGTACGATTAAAGCCTATAGAATAAACTACTAGACTAAGTACTAGCTCGAGATGGC